TCTGTTTGAAGAAATTAACTGTCTTGATTTGGTTCTCAAGTTATTATTGAGTTTTCCATGTTGCTAAGCAACCTGACCGCCTGTCTCTGTGCTCATCCCTCAGCTCCGGTGGTGAAGATCAAGCAGAGTCTGACGAAGCTGAAGCAGGAGATCGTTCAGATGGACGTAAGGATCGGCGTTGTGCAGCACACCTTGCTGCAGGCCAAACTCAAAGAGAAGTCCAACATGACGCGCGACATGCACGCCACCAACATCCCTGAGTCCGCTGCTGGGCCCTTCACTTAGTCTGATTACAGCACTCAATGCTCCTCTCCTGTTTCTCTGACCTGAACTGAGGCTGAAATGTTGAGTCTCATGACGTTGGATCTTTAAAACGTCCTAGAATTTCATTTAAAGCCAGAAAAGTAATCTCTGAGAAAATATTTTTTATACTTTTAAAAGATTCTCTCTGCCTCGGCCCAGCAGCTGTTAGCTCATAAAACATAAAACATTTGTAGTTGAACAGTTCATTGATTTCACTCTTTGTCCTTATTTATTTTGTAGCTTCTTTTTGTATTGATAATATTTAGAGCCATTTTTGTGTATATGAACATAAAATAAATTTTGATACCAATTTATAATCAACATCTTCTCCATTTGAAATCTTTCTGAGGCTAAATAATAATGAAATGATTTAATCAGAGTTCAGTGGCCACCAGAGGTCACCAGCAGGTGTGAGGATTCATTTTAATTGAAAAACTGACATTTTAAATGTCTACATGTCTGTTAATAAGAGTTAAATTTTCAGAGCAGACAGCACTTATCAGAGAGACTAGAAACCCCCCAAAACACCACCAGGGATATTTTAATTGAGGGGATTTTGGTTTCATTTCATTTTAACCTTGTTAAGTAAATCAAGCCTGTCCCACAAGTCTTGGTATTTACCCTTCAAAATAAAAATCGGATCTATGAGAGAGAAAAAGGTGAGTTATGATTAAGTTAAAAACTTAAGTTTTTTTTCCATAAAACACTATACTTTTGCCTCATTTACTATGCGCAGAGGCATGAATATGCAAATTGACCTCTAACCCCACCCATCACTAAGCTGGTCACCTGCAACTCTGCTCTGCTCGTCATGTACATAAAAACTCTGCTACTTTTTGTTTTACAGGCAACTGTATGGGAGCAGGCACTGTCACCTGCAGGTTAACAGTCTTAACACCATGAGGCTTGAATTAGAATTACTATAATATGTTGTTTTATTAACAGCCATCACGCACAGCGCCTGCTTGTAGTCTGTTCCCTACACTGCTGTGTGCCAGGATAAGAGTCATGTGTTGAGCCAGCTGCTACCACATCTGTCAGAGTCACATATGACTTGGACATTTATTAAATGCACGGGCTTTCTATTTGCATAAAATGGTTTTCAGGTGGAACCCTTATTGCAGCATGACTGCAGTGAATCCATTTGGGAAACTGGACATTGCTGCAAATTGCCTTTTGATGTGGGCCTGTTCTCTCACAGTGAACGGGAACTTGATGAATCAGCAACTCATTTTAATAATCCCATCCAGAACTGCAGGTATTATCACACTCAGGGACGCTGCGATATCCCAGGCCTACCAGACAATTAAGCAGAATTCTATTATTCCTAAAAGGGGCAAGGCACACTGAACCTGTCTGCTAATTCCTGTTGCTAACAGGTGGTTTCCAGAAACCCCACAGTGGTAAGCTCTTGTATTTGTACTGGGATGGGGGGCTCTGGCTGGTTGGTCTGTCTAATGCAGGACCCAGTTCAACACATAGATCATCATTGTGGCCCCTGAACATTTGTTCCCTTGTGACTCTTCACGTTCACAGAGTCCTGTAGCAGAGCCAGTGCATCCATCATTATGTGTATGAGTGTCACCCTGGTATTTATATTACAGTTTACAGCCATCAGGCTGATTGATTCACACCTTGCCCAATTGATTGCAACATTCAGTGGTAGCCCCTCCCACACCCTGGGATAAGATTAGACGTGAAATTTGGTGAACACAATTTATTTCTTTAAGTGGGGTCTCCAGTGGCTTGGTGAGCTTGACAGCACACTTGTGTTCACTGCAGCGATTTTACACACAAATCAATATGAATACTAAAACCGTACGTGCTGATATACGCACAGTTAATTAAATATGTACGTATATGTGTGTTATTTAAATACATAAGGGCTCTCACATTTAATTTATTTTTTTCTCACAATCTACATCGCCATTTTCCCGTCTCCAAAATGTTCGTACACATGGGTCAGAGTTTGCGTACATTCTCCCATCAAGTTTGATTTTTTAGATCCCAACCTTTGCCCGGGAAGTGACGTACGTATCTTTCAGGCCCCATTTTGTGTGCATGCATCGGTTATAAATGAGGTCTCTGAAGCGAGGTCATCACAAGCACAGTACTATGTATACTATACAATATCATACTATACATATACACACTGTATTTCCCCCCCACCCCGACAGGTGTTCGTGTGGTCACTGTGTTACAATGCCCACAGAGCAAGAACACGTCTGTACTTTGTGCTGTAGGTTGAAAGGAGACTAAGGGAAATACCGCAGGCCCCCACCTGCATGACTCTACACCCAGGTATGGAGCCGGTGTATGAATTCCTATGCCCTCAACATTTATAGGGCCCCTCACAGGGCTATGCATCAAGTTACTGGTTATGGAAACTTCAGTAATGTAAAAAAAAGAGACATGTACTGTACATCTAGGTGCCAGTTGTGTAGGATGAACCACTTGACAACGCTTGTGAATAAGCAATATCCAATCCAATCCACTTTATTTATAGAGCATGATTTTAACAAACACAAGGTTTCCAAAGTGCTGCACAGCAAGATAAAAACACAATAAATAGCACAACAGAACACAATAAAACGATGAAGGACACAATAGGATAAAAGTAATAAAATAAGAAAAATCTGATAAAAATAAGATAATTAAAATAAAAGATAAAATCAGATAAAAACAAATAAAACAAACAGAATAAAATAAAGTGCACTGCTCACACAAGATGCAACACGCTACATGGTGTCAAAAGCCAGAGAGAAGAGGTGGGTTTTAAGAAGAGATTTAAAATGTGACAGTGAGGAGGCCTGTCTAATGTGCAGCGGCAATCCATTCCACACTTTTGGAGCTGCAACGGCAAACGCTCGTTTACCTCTGAGCTTAAGCCTAGCTTTAGGCACTATCAGGAGCAGCTGGTCAGCTGACCTGAGAGAGTGGCTGGGAGTGTAGTGGTGCAGCAGCTCAGAGAGGTAAGGTGGGGCAAGGCCATTCAAGGCTTTAAAAGCAAATAAAAGAATTTTAAAATGAATCCTAAAATGTTGTATAGAATGCAGATTGTTCATGACCAAAAATGTATTTATTGAAACAAATGTTCACAATAAATTCGCACACATTGTAATTAGAGTCTATATACATGAATTTATTTACAACTATAAATTGTTCAATGCAAACAATGTCAATATGGTTAATATACAGATTGTTTGTTGGCTATTTCTACTAAAAACTTGGAGGAAAAAAAAAAAAAAAAATCACTGCAAAACTAAAATATATCAAATAAATAGAAGAACAGATTCATAAAAGACAAGATTTGGGGCAACAAAGCCAAAACCATTTACTTATTTTCTCATACCATTTCAACAAATTTGAAAAATGTTAATTTCTGGGCAGAGCAGGTATCTGGCCTTTCCATGTCAGCACCGAGTGGTGGTGGGATGGAAACGGCGCCAGCTCTGCAGTAAATGTGTGGACACTGGTGAAAACAGCCAAGTTCTAAACATCTTCTGCACATATTCTGTGGATTTTATTAAAAAAAAAAAACAAAAAAAAAACACGCTTTTTATACAAAGACATTTTTACATTTTGTGACATAGTACTAATAGGTTATTTACGTATATACAGTAGGCTACCTATGTGACTGGTGGTTTGAGCTGCTGCTACATTTTTATCTAAATAAATATTCTATTCTTACCATAATTAGGATTTTTCTTGAGCTCTTCAACAATTAACAGCTGCAATCTTGCACATTTTCTGAATTGCAGGGGCCTATATACAATTTGTGCATTTGAAAATATATGCATACAAAAGTGCAGTCCGAACGCAATCATCCATGCAGTGTTCTATAAATGAAAATGATGATGCTCCATACCACCTGAATCGTGACAAAATCCCAGCAAAGGCCTACCCAACGTTAGCACGTTCATCACTGGTGAACAGGGATGAATGTGCTAGCGTTAACCTATCGTGCTAACGTGCTAACATTAAATGTTCTAACGTTAACCTAACTATTTGGAGTAACATTTTCCCAGTCTTTCTTCATTATGCCCGGGCCATATAAAATGTCCTGTTGGCTGACCATTTTTGACAATTGTTATAACCGTCCAGACGTTCCATTGTACAACATATGGACCTATCCTGATGCTATTTTTCACTATAACATCTATATTACTGCAGATTTGTTTGGACACAGTCAACACATAAAACACAAGAAAATAAAACTTACTTCTAAGAAGTAAAAAACGAACATGCCTCTGCCATGACTGATAAAATTGTGGAACCTATGTAGGGACATAGATAAGCTAATTTGCTACACCTGGCTTGTCCGACAACCCTACTTTCCGGTTGTCTTATATTAATGATGTGTAAAGCTCCGCCCCTCAAGTTGATATGATTGGTCCTTAGGACATGTGAAATTAACAAGTATTGGCTGTCTGAAGCCGTGTTTTTCAGAATCTCATTGATTTACTGCAGTAAGGCGGAAATACTACCTTGTGGCGGTGACTGTCTAGTTCGGTCATGATATGTCTTGTATTATAAAATACATCATATGGACATGTTGACAAGGTTGATTTTTTTTCCTCGGAGGGGGTCTTTAAGCGATCGAAGCTTTTACTTTGAAAACGCTGACCGGAACCTGTATTGTTTTGTGTTTTAACTTGCCAGCCGCTGGTGTTTCCTGTGAGTGGGCGAGGCTCAGTGACAGCTGCCGCGGAGCTCCGAGCTTCCTCTGTTTGTTTTTATTCACACGGAGGAAAAAAGAAAGAAATCGATTTTAAACCAAAGTCCAGAAAAAAGAAGAGAAGAAGAAGAAAAAGTTTGATCACTCCTGTGAAAGAAGATTTTATTTTTAAACTTTCAGTAGGGGAAGAAAGCGGAAAAACAACCCGGTGAGTTCAGTTCAATCCCGTTATTTCTTTGTCTGGATTTGTGCAGTAAAGTCTCCTAAGACTTAAAACATATAAAGAAAGTATAAAACAAAAACAATAACATAAAAAAAAAAAAAATAGGAATAGTTTTGTAATAGTTTGATTTATTTTTGTCAACTAATGTAAATTGTTATAAATTCCTTCCTTTAAAAAAAAAAGAAGATAAATTCAAGCTTTGTTATTCCCTTCAGGTGTAATGTGTATTTGAATTTTATATATACATATATATACTATATTACTTACAACCATATGATTATGTCAACGTAAATGCCACACATGCTTCACAGTTATGGTGGAAATATTACACGAATGGTGCAACTAGAAATAGCGTGAAGCCACTATTGGAAATGTATATGAGACATTATCAAAGTATTAAAGGGATGTTGATTCAAATTTTACTACTACAGTAAAGACAATATACACAATATGAGATATATTTATATATGAGATAATATGACACTATGAGGCGTTACAGCAGAACTACAGGAGTAAACCATCATCAGAAAACTGCAGAAACTAAATTAGAGCATCATTAACTCTGTATAGGGATATTATTTTATTGTTTATTTAAAAGGTACAATACAGCAACAATATTAGAATAACAATGACAACACTGTAAAGCTTGTAATAAGAGGCACTAAAGTGATATCAAAGGGGAGAAAACAAAATAAAGGCCTCAAATTGTATTAAAGGCTTTACAACTTCAGCCGTGTTCACTTTGAACCTGCTGCAAACGTCTGTATTTAAACAGAACAGAAATGTGACAGAGACTCTCCGGCAGGTTCAGCTCAGTGTGGCTGTGTGTGCGTGAAGCTGGAGCTGCTGATGGTGAAATGGTTTGGTCCATCTTTGTGTTTCCTGCTACGCGTTTTCCTCCAACATCAGCAGCTCCAACACAGAACACACTGCTGCTGCTGCTGCAAGGCATGCTGGGAGGTTGGGAAGAGTCCAACATGAGACATATGGGGGGAAATTAAATAAATAAATAAATAAAGGTAATCCTATTATGAATGATTGAAGATACTGAGAATCAATGACATTATTTTCTATTATCTTAGAGATATAATTTCAAATTGAATGTCTGAAACAGATGAGTCACATTTCTGAGCAACACAGACATTTTAAGACTTAAAGGATTATTTTAATGATATTAAAATCCTTAAATGAATGAAATACCTTACTATGTTAACCTCACTAATAAGCTTAGCTTCTATTCTGTAAATTCACATTTTTTCATCATTTTCTGTTTGTTCATTTACTGCGAGCTTTTGAATGTCTTGTATATAGAAGATTTAAAAAAAAAAAAAACAGATTTCACCCTTTTTAATGAATATGGTCAATGATAGAAACTAAAATTCAACATATAGGGATACAGACTGTAGTATTGAACCTGGGCTCCAACAAATGATTATTTCCTTCTCAATTAATCTGCCATTATTCCTTGATTAGTCGATTATTCATTTTTTCTATAAAATGTTAAAATGTCTTCTTTTGTTTGGTCAACATAAGCTTAAATTTTAAATCCTCACAACTGAGAACCAGGGAACATCAAATGTATTTTTGCTTAAAAAAATGATTTAAATGATTAATCAACTATTAAAATAGTTGTTGATTAATTTTCTTCCAATCAGCTAATGGATTAAATGACTAATTGTTGCAGCTCTGGGGCTTACACTCATCTTTCATCATTTTACTCTGCAGGTTTCTGAATGTCATGGACAAAAATGTGACTAACTTCACTCTGTGTAACGTACATACTGAATGTATCTGTGATGTATACACACAAATACAGATTGTAGTCTTGAACGCACAGTTGTTCAAAAACAGAAGAGTCTTTGTTTTCGGGCCCTGGTCTGAACTGAACAGGCTGGAAGCCACTAAAACCACATGTTTGCTCTCATCTTTGTCTGTGGACACAAAATATGTTTTACACAAATCTGTGTCACAGTTATTTTTATGCAGTTCCATCCTGAGCAGTGAAGAGGAACTTCTATTTACAGGCTTTTAGTCAGGAAATGTGGAGGTTTGTTTTTATTCTCCAAACACTCACAGACTGATAGACTTAAGACATTTCTGCATGAAGACAGACCCAGGCTGTTCAGCCATTTTCTCTGGCATCATGTTCATTATCTGGTCTGGACTGGTCAGTGTAGTCAGATGTATGAGGTGGCCTGGAAAAACCTGGAAAACAAGCTTGGAAAAGTTTTGAATGTGTATTAAAATAATGGTCAGGTTGTTACACAGACCGTTACTGAGCGTTTACACAGGATCGTATTCCTGCTCCTCAGAGGACGCAGCCTTTAGATTTTATTCAGCCTCATTGACAAGGATGAACGAACGGTTGTAACTTCACCAGCTGCTCAGTCAGTTTGTTGGTAGTTCCAGGGGGCGGCAGCGGGGCTCCAGACTGTTGTGTTTTAAAATCACAAGAAGCATTTTACAGTTGGAACAGAGGAAGATGAGAAAGGAAACCACCCCCACACCCCCGCCCCCCTTGGCATTCACTGTAACACAGAGAGTCTCTGTTAGTCGCCCAGCAACAGTCACTGACCCAGTTCATCATCCACTTTGCTGTTTAGCTTTCATTCAGCAGAGTAAGACAATAGCAGAGAGAGAGGTGGTTCTTCCTGTTAGAACATCTTTCAGAGAGCTGCCGCGGTTAGCCTCTTTATGCTAACGTTGGTTAACCATGCCCTGACTCTTTAAAGCTTTGAAGGTACAATCTGTCAAATCCAAAGAAAAACTCAAATCACAACAGGTCTGAAACTTGGCTGTGACTCCCGGGACTACTGCTACACAGCTGAAACATTAATGTTCATGGTGCTTCAGTACTGTCTGTATGTCATTTCCACATGTTGGCAACCACAGAATTTACGGAGCACATTTACATAGTGAGACAACAGTCAGATTAAAACACGGAGAATTAAAAGAAAAGTAAATAGATAAATAAAAACACTATACATATATTGCACGACTTCATTATGACAGTTTATTAGAGTTTTCATCTTTAGTTCAAAGTCTTTAGTTTGGTTTGTGAATTTATTTCAAATTTTCATGGTTAAAACATTAAAACATTCGGCAGGAGTCTGGACTCACTCTGGACTGTTGTGGAGAGACGCGTGCAATGTCAGATGGAGGCCATCTTGGACAATACCAACCATCCTCTCCACAACATTCTGGCAGGACAGAGAAGCAACTACAGCTGCATCTATTAAGAATTAGGGGCCAGTTGCACTAAACATCTTAGGTTTTCTACTTAAGTCTGACACTTAAGGTTGAATTTCTCCTTAACCGAGGGACTTACTTAAGGTTGTTGCACAGAATAACTTAAAAGTTTTCTTTGTTAAGGAAAAACATTAAGGCATTTGCAGCACTGAAAGAGATTTTACAGCGGTTAAATTCAACAGTTTCCATGGAGACCATTAACATCTCACCTGTATTGTCTCACAAAGTTGGCCCAGAGGAAGATTAAAGAAGTGCTGCGCTCTCTCATCCTCCTGACCCTTCTCCAGTGTTCAGCAGACGCCAGACGGTCAGAGCGTCTGACACTCGGTGAATGACACGGCACACAGCTGATCCATGGACACGAAATACTTCACCAATAATTAACCACTGAGCATCATTAGCTGCAGAGGAGCTGGAAGAGCACAGCTGAGGAAAGTGGAGTGATCAGCTCTAGACAAACAAATCATAAAGTGACTGCCAATCAAATCTATAGAGTAAATTCAATTCCTCGTTGTCAAGGGTCCATCAGGTTCTTCTGATCGTGGAAAACTCTTGTTGGGATGTTCATCCTCTTCATTCATTACCGTAGACTCAGACATTTTGCTGATAAGATACAATCAGAGATAACTTCAGTTTTTTTCCTTAGTTTGGTCGCTAAAGTCTTCGGTGCAACGGCTTAACTGAGTTTCAGTGATTCCTTAAGTATAAGGCCAAGATAAGGAGCAAACCTTAACTACTTAAGAGAACATTTTATGGAAACCTTAAAGAGAAGACTTAAGGTTGTTTTGTGCAACAGTTTTTATTTTGGACTTTGAAAAAAATCTTAACTTAAGATGCTTTGTGCAACTGGCCCCTGAGGTGTTTACTCTACTTTTATAGTTCGGACTCTTGTTAGATTAGAGCGCAGGGACCGGTCTAAATGCAGTGAACCTGTCGCAGGCTGTCAGTCAGAAATCTGATAAGCTGATGTTTTACAGATCAGACTGTAGAGAATGTAAACACGAGGTCACAGGTAACAACATGTGTGACTGAGCCTGGACTCGTCCCCTCAGTGTGACTGTCAAGAGTTAAAGTCCCTCCGGCAGATGCGGGGTTAACAGGAAACATGAGCTCAGAGTCACAGCCCCTCTGTTTTTCTTGCATTTTTTTCTCAGGCTGCTGCTCGGTCTTCTGCAGGATGTGAGAGAAGCACAACAGAAAACTCTCACACAGCGACACAGAGATCTGAGCAGGAACAAGTTTAAAGGTAAGACTGCTGCCATGAGTCTTTAAATAACCTGCTCTTATTTTGTAGTCTGATCAGTGTGGATTAGATTTATATTAGCCTGCTGAATGTTGATTCAATTAATCCCTGAAGCGCTCAGACGAGAGAGAGGAGGACTCCTCTGATCAGCTCTGCAGGGATTAACTGAACTGACAAGTTACTGGAGAGCAGATCAGGAGCGGCGGCAGCTTTTTAAAGAGCTGAAATCACTGAAAAAAATGTTTCTATAAAAACCAGACTGCTCCACTTTCTCCTGCCTGATATCTTCTTAACTATTAAAACACATCAGTGAGTCTTACTGTTACACATCCTGCTGCCACAAATACTCACTACAGCACCAAATGTGGATTAATCCGCTGCTGAAAATAGTCCCCAACAAATGCTTCACATATCTGCAGTGAGCTGCTGTTGTAGGAAATTACTGAGCCTAAATTAATTAAGTCAAGTAAACTATATATATATATATATTACTTTATATTAATGAAGTGTTTCAAGGATTTACGTGTTCAGTAGGAACCAGTGGGTTCAGAGCTGAGAGCCACAGAAAGAGGAGGGAAGACGGGATGTACTGAGAGAAGAATGAACACACTGAGAGATATGAGAGAAGAGTATACTACTCCTTTGAATTTAGCTGTCACATCTGTGTATTTATTTAATTTGACAACAGGTCAGTTCAAATACAATTAAAATGAACTTTAAATTGGTTTGTTTTCCATTGGCTTGTAGATTTGAGTGAAAGAAAAAGAAACACATCGATAAACGGATCAATCCATGTGTGAATAAATACATAAAGATAAAAATAACAAGAACATAAATGAAATGTTGAAGAAAAAATACAAATATTTGACAAATAAACTGAATCTTTGAGCGTTGCTTTAACCAAATGAATAAGTTTATCAGTAAATTCAGGTTTTACATGTTTTTACCATTTATAATAATAATAATAATAATAATAATAATAATAATAATAATAATAATAATAATAATAATAATTATTATTATTATTATTATTATTATTATTATATAATGATGAACAATAATAATAATAATAATAATAATTATTATTATTATTATTATTATTATTATTATATAATGATGAACAATAATAATAATAATAATAATAATTATTATTATTATTATTATTATTATTATTATAAATTTAACTATCTTTTCTCAACTATGTTTTTTTCACAGACTCAATAACCAGATTTTGTGGGTCCCCAAAATGATGATGTTTTAACTCTTAAAAATATACATTTTGTTATGAGTCTTATAACTTGTCTGGTTTTTTGTCTATAGGGAAACTGTATCATATTGGGATTAAATAAAGACAAGACATTTAACATTTTCTAAACTAATCCACGACCAAAACATCAGTGTAGGTCTCTATGTCTGTTCGGTTTAAATCTGACCTTAAAAAGACCTAAACTTTCTGCAGAATCTCATTTGTAAATTGTTCATTTTCCTCTTTGCTGTTGATTTTAGGGCTTTAACAGTGAAGCTGAAATGTGTGTGAGCTGTTTGTATTTTTGTTCTGTCGGCTGAATGTTTCTCACCTCCAGCTGCTGGATGTCTTAACGTATTTCACAGATCACCAGACGAGACTCGGCTGCAGACAAAACATGGCGCTGTTCTTCTCCGGAGCCGTTACAAGTACGTCTGCTACAGCAGCACGAACATCTGTACTCACAACACATCTGCATCAGCAGTGGACTAATATAAAAACTAATTTTACATTTTATGGATTTAGTGGACGCACATGAGGAAGCAAAGTTCAGCATCAACACAAACAAACAAAAACTTTCACAATAAGATATGACAACTAGAATCACCTCCTGGTGTTTGTCTGCCTCCTCCACTCAGACTAGTTCCAGGTTACATCCCTGTTTATCCACAGTCAGAGAAAATATGAACCATCTGTGTGAAATTTTGTCATAGTTGCTGTGAGTAATGGCTAAAAAGTGTTTTGTGAGGTCACACTGACCTTTGACCTTTCATCATCAAATCGGTTCGTCCTTGAGTCCAAGTGACCGCCATATCTCAGTAATGCAGTGACGGAGCTTCAGATTTGGTACAAACATTCATTTGGCTTTAGGGATGAACTGATTAGATTTTTCTGGGCTAAAGGTGAAAGGTCAAGGGCGTGGTGACCTCACAAAACAGGTTCTTGGCCATAACTCACAAATTCATACACTAATTATGAGACAATTTAACTCAAATGGTCAACTTCACAGTGACATCATAATGTTCTCCTAAAACACTTCTGCCCATTATTCAACACAAGAAGGAGAGACTGTGACCATATTTCCTGCAGGTTGGCAGATTGGCGGAGGGATACAACCATGAAGAGGCGATTCTGGTTCATATAGGTGAACTGTTTGATGTAACACTGATGCACTTTATTTGAAGGTTCTGCTGTAACACTAAAACTCTAAACATTGTTCTGTAGATTGTCAACAGAACAAACAGGAAATGTCTTTGCTGCTGTGAATGTATTTGAATGAGCTTGAAAACACAGGACAATAAGCTGTGCGTCACATTCCTACACAGTCTTCATCATCAAGAGTAAATTTACTCAAGTGGTTTCCCAGGCCGGCCTCAGGAATGCTATCTGGCTCTTCATGCTGATAACAGGAGGCCTCTGTATTTAGAACGACCTGTGTGACCAGCGTGTGTCTCCAGTCTTTTACCTGTTTGTTAATGGAACTCATCCAGTCTTTTCTAATGTCTGTTGTTCAGGTTCACCCATAAAACGGAGGTTGCGGGCAAATCACTCCTGTCAGAGGTAAAAACTTCAGCTTCTTTTTCCTTTTCTTGACTAAATGTATTCTGTGCTGTGGAGAGACTGATAGACTTTTGTCTAGTTTCATGTGGCAGTCACACAAAACACCACCATCCATTCATTCAACAGTCCGACTGAACTTTACCCTCTGAAATAATAGGGTATGTCCACACTAAGGATCTCCGTCCGGATGAGCATTTTAGCTCTGTATCAGACTCGCTGAATGCTAATGTGAGCATGTTTAGCTGAAAGCACAGTTGAGTTAAAGTAGCACATTAACATGCTAGTTCACATCCTGATAGTGTTGCATGTAATATTTACCAAATCATCTGTCATTTATTTCAAAATAATGCTGTCATGTGTTTCAAGTACGTACGCTGTGATCTGGTTGGTTCAGGGCTCAGAACCAATCTGGTTCAATCGGGTCTTAAAGCTCCATATTCTCCTCTTCTTCTGTGTTTTATTTGAAGCGTTGATCCATCAGAAGATATATTTGTGGTTTTAAGAACCAAAAACCATCTCAGTGTAGTTTTACATCTCCTCTCTCAGGCTTCTCTCTGGAGCTCTCAGAACAGAGGAGGCTCTGAGCCTCTCCTCTGATTGGCTGACTGTTTTCTGAGTGATCCAATAAAAATATAGCAGTTTTCAGGTAAACACTCAGATCAACCAAATCCTGCAAGGTTGGATGGTGGGTCCAGGTGGGCGGGGCTTGGGGCATGGCTGAGAGCCGTGACTGCTTTGTTGTGACATCACAAAGTTCCAGAAGTCCTGACGGCTGGTTTTAAGGCTCAGTTTCTGAATACAGGCTGTGTGCATTTCTCTGTGGACTGAGGCTTTGATACTTTCACAGTATTAATATAGAACCTAGACCTGATCTATAATCAACCAACACATGGACATCTACCTTTAGACTGTATGGGACCTTTAAAGAAATAAGTTGCAGATAGCATGTTAACGTGTTAACATCAGGTATAGTAACTCGCCATGTTGGGAATAAAGTACAGTCTGATTCCTGACCTGAAGCTGATCTTTGACCTGTATTTGACTCTGCATTGGTCTGCTGGACTCCCAGACCACTTACTGGTTTTAGTTTTAGACTGGTATCCCACATGCTGACCTCCTCCTGTCTGTGTCTCTCTCAGCCTCGACCTGTCTCTCCTCTCCCCTGACTCCTCCTACGTCTGCTACTCGTCGGTGGATGGCGGTGACCCCAGCTGCTGCCGGCGCTCGCCGCGCCTCCTCACCAACGGGTACTACAGCGTCACCGAGGACAGCTTCACCTGGGACGACGATGGAAATGTGTCGCTGACGCCCTGCAAGACCAACGTGTCATACAAGGAGAACCTGGTCAGGTGAGAGCAGCACATGATAATATACTTTATTTATACAGTAGTACAGAGTCGACATGTTCTGTAACAGCCACATGGAACGTTATAATACAGAACATATCAGCTACACTGACTGTTTATTTTATTCATATTAAAACATTTTAGAAACTGTTGAAACATCATATTTTCTAATGATATTTTTCCTGATAATGAAGAAGTTCCATTAGTTTAATTGTTACAATCAAATTGTAAATTTGCCACGAAAGTGGAGGAACAGATTTAACATTGTGACGTGAGAGATCTGTTGGAAATAAAAGTGTGTTTATCTGGCAAGCAGCTTTATTAGCCAGCAGCTGTATTAGCCTGTGGCTAATAAAGGCTGGCAACAAGACATTCTGGAGAAATGATCTTCATTTTCCCCACAATCATGGAAAATTAGCAGACATGGAAAAAGTTCCTGATGTGCAGCCAGACTACTCAGATACTCAAATTACAGAAACTGGGTGAATTAATGAAATTTAAAGGATCAGTTTGGTGATATTCAGTTTTATTGACCACTTATCCCATGAAAAGATCCAAACCAACAATGTGTTGCACTGATAACGTCCCTCCTCTGTCTGTGGCTCTCAGCTCTGCGCTCATTGGTTCCTGCTGAAAATATAAATCTTTAAAAGCATAAACATAAAACATAAAGTTTCATTTTTAATAAGTCTCAGTAATTTCAGCTGCTCACTGTAGTTTTTTATCAAACAAACCGGAGGAAGTATTGCATTTACTGGGGACTATTTTCAGTGGCATGTACATGTTTGCTGCTGTAGAGGGTTTTAGTCCAGTTCAGCCTGAAGGATGAAGTCACATCAGTAACAGACACCAAACCCACATGTTGTCATACGGAACAGCCTTAAAAGTCACAACTGTGACACACACACACACACACACACACACACACACACACACACACACACACACACACACACACACATCAACACACTCACTCCATCTTCAAACACCTCTTTATAGTGCTGAGGTCATCCGGTGCAGCCAATCAGAGCGAGCCGTTAAACAGGTTTAAAAGCTGTAAATTCTTCACTTGTGACATCTGCTGCCCTCAGGAGCCAGAGCATGATGTCATCTGTCACTGTTGCTAGGAGACTTGCGTGTTATTGAAGCCCTCGTTGTCGACATGAGAAGAGTTTCTTTGTTCTGTTTACGTAACAGATCGAGTCTGCAGAGGCTTTTTACCTTCAGCCTTTCGGCCTGTATTAATCCCTCACACATACATTGTACATGTTGTCACACACGTGAACCAAACAGACTCGTGTTCCTTTGCTCTGCAGCTGGATCGGGAATCAAACACATCTGGTGAAGCATCTGAGCCACAAACCTCTGGAGCCTTCAGACCCTCGAAAACACTCACCTGGAGATTTTCAGAGACACATAGAACTAGCTGTTGATCAATTAATTAGTCGATTATTGTAAAATTAATCAGCAACCATTTTGATGCCTAAGATAAAATGCTTTTCAGATGTGAAGATTTCCCGCTGATCCTTGTCTTATATGATAAAATAAACTTTAAGATGTCATCTCTTCAAACTGATTCTTGAATTCTTGAAATTGATTCACTATTTTCTAGATAAAAAGACGAGTCATTTAATCAACACAGAGCTCAGCAGATGAGTCAATGCATCATTAATGAGAGGAAAAAGTTTCTGCTCTTCATTTATAAAACAAAACTTTAAAAAAAACAACTTGATTTTGCAGGAAAATGGGGAGAGAAAAAAGAGGAAAACCTTCAAATAAAGACAAAATTAACAGACATTCAGCAACAAGGAGAAAGCAGGATCCTTTTTAATGATTCTCTTCTTCTCTCAGGGTTTTCCGGCGCAGGCGGAGGCCTCGCAGCTCCCTAGCTCGCCTCCTGAGCGATGTCACAGAGACCTGCCAGTCGTGGCTGGATGAGAAAGTCTTCAGGGGCGTGTTCAGGACGGGAAAGCACCACAACTGGGACCGAGACCAGGACCAGGACAAGGACCAGGATAAGGACCTGGACAGAGAATATGAGAGGGATAATGTTTGGGTGAAGAGCAGTCAGCAGCACCGGGCCCCGCTGGACGAGTCCTCCTGGTCTGGACTCTGCAGCACCGAGCTGGAGGACAGCCGCAGCTTCACCTATGGTGGGTAACAGCTGGAGGTTAAGTTCAGCCTGATTCTGGATCTGATGTGGTTCTAAAATCCACGATGCTGCATGCAGATGAGAAAAGGAAATTAAAAATAAATCCAAACCCCCCTAAAAGAATGGTTTTGTTTTTTCTCTTTCAGACCCAACAGAGATCCCGCCCCCTCCTGACAAAGTGTCCCCGCCTCCAAAGATGCTGATCCAGGAAGAGATTTGCTCTGAGATCTGTCAGTCAAAGGAGCGGTTCACCCAGTCACTGGGTGGACTCTCAGAAGTCCCGCCTCCCTCTCCTTTCTACACCAACACCTGCTGCTGTCAGGCCTCACCTGAGCACACAGGTCAGCTGCAACATTATCATCATCATCAACATCAACATCATCATCATCATCATTATTATTGTGTGTGTACCAGCTGCTTCAGAGACAGCAACATAACAGGAGTTAATTACTTTTTTTTTTTTTTTACGACAACCAGCAGCTGCAGTTTGTCCTGTGTTGAAACCAGTGGGCGGGGTTCGAGGTTAGAACAGCTGTTTTTTTTTTTTCTTTTCTACTCTTAAACTTCATCATCAAACTGAAATTCTGGTTTTACAGTGCAACAAAAAGACACCGCAGATGATAACTGAGACGTTAGCTCATTAGCTCACAGCCCAAAATCTTCACATCAGTAACTAATGTAAATGTAATGTATTTCATTTGTATTGTTGTTGTTCTCATCAGCTCTGATGTGTATTTGTTTGTGTTTTTGTTTCAGGGTTAACGATGAAGGCCTTTCTCCTTTTGATCTTCACCATCTTCATCTTCTCGGCTCTTTACTCAGGGTAAAACTTTATTTTTATTTCTCTTTAATGGCAACCATTTTTTTCCACTGGTTTAAACCATCAACTTAAGCTCCATCTTTTTCTCTTCTTCTGTGTTTTATTTGAAGTGTTGATCCATAAGAAGATATGTTTGTTGTTTTAAGAACCAAAAACCATCTCAGTGTAGTTTTACATCTCCTCTCTCAGGCTTCTCTCTGGAGCTCTAGTAACAACAGGTCAGTGAGCCAATCAGAAGAGAGGAGGCTCTGAGCCTCTCTCTGGCTGACTGCTTTCTAAGTGATCCAATAAAAATATAGCAGATTTGAGGAAAACACTCAGAGAAACCAAATCCTGCGAGGTTGGATGGTGGGTCCAGGTGGGCGGGGCTTGGGGTGTGGCTGAAAGTGGTGACTGCTTTGTTATGACATCACAAAGTTACAGAAGTCCTCATTTTTTATCCAGTTTTTAAGTCAAGTTCACGTTTGAGTGGAGAATCTTTAAACTTGAATCATTTGTGTGTCATGTTTTCTGTACCTCCTCCTCTCTGCAGGTGTCTGTGGTGGAGCTCGACTGTGACATCCATTGTGTTCATGATGATGTCAACATTTATGTGTAAGTAACATATAAGATTAGACTCATGCATCAGGTCAGTCTCATGGATCTGCTGATGAAATATTCCCTGATATGACGAAGCTTTTCTACCGTGACAGAAAATCTGTAACAGAGTAGGCTATTCATTTTGTGTGCAAAATTAATTCATGTATATGATTTAGGGATGCCTCGATTGATCGACCGCCAATCAAGATAGGCAGATTTTCATTAAAAATACGATAATAAGATAAATGCTTCAAGTCACCGATCACCTGTGGTTAATACTCTGGTGTACGGAAGAAGATTAGGGCTACATCTAATCCTCTTCTGTACTGGTGTCTGCGGCTGAGAGAAGCACTGTGTTCTGTGTAGTGTAGTCCTGCCTCCCACCTTGTTGTTGCGCACAGGCCATCAAAACCAAACATGTCGGCCGTGTGGAACTTTTATAAAGCGTGTGAGACTGATACAACATACACCATCTGCAATGCGGGGCTCCAGACTAACTTGACTAACTTTATCACTGGTTACAGACATGATTTGGTCACACCTTTTCTAAATACAGCCTATTTCTTCATGAGGGACTCTCTGAGGCTTCCTCTTCTTTATTAGCAGCAGAGCAGCAGAATGAGAATAAATGACAATATCAGATTTATGGATATTTCTCACTTTGCTCTGATGATCTGAAGAACTCACTGTTTCTCTTTCTTGTCTCTCTCTGTCAGCGTCTTATCACGCAGTGACCTTAAACTCACCACGGAGCAAAATGATTTTACTGACTGTAAACAGACTGTGTATGCTACTCACACGCTCTTAGGTTTACTGGAAGATTTAGAAAACATTAGTGTGATATGATGATATGATATGGAAGGGGAGGGAGCCTTGGCCCACTCTGGTATAGGCAGAGTTTAATCCGGTCAGCATTTCGTTCTTCCCTGTGAAAAGAAGAGGGGAGGGGCTCAGGCCCGGCAGGTTTTGTGCTTTCAGGAGTTTAAGCTTAAATTGCATTGACTTGGTAACAAGTTTAGAGTTGTCTGCAATGAACCGGCCACATCGTTTCACTACACACAACGTTGCCCTCGTACCGTAACCACGGGTACTGAGTTAGCCCAGTGTCTCTGTCTGTCCCTGTCTGCACCTGCATTCTGATGAAAGGTCAGGTCGTCAGACCGACTGAGCCAGTGAAGGAAAAAAAAATACTTTCAACAACGCGATACATGCAGAACAGCCTAATGAATAATGATCATGCAACGACCATGTGTCATTTTAACTCCTGCCAAAAAGGATCGGTATTGGCTGTGGATCGGCCGATCGCCCTCATAGATGATCGATACTGGTATCGGTGGGAAAAAAAAAATCAGGGCATCCCTTCTTTGATTATATAAATTAGTATTAATTTTAAAGCAGCGATGTTTACGTGACCTCTACTGTTACAAGATAAATTCAGAGAAAAAGAGAATTCTGAAGGTCTGGACCCTGTAGCAGCTTGTCTTCAGTTTCAAAACTGATTTTTTAAAATCAACATCAGTTTTTTAAAAACCTGCAAACTTTACACCTTCAAAGATTTGAGGATTAAAAAGCTAAGCAGTTCTGTCTCTTTTCAGTCCTGACAAAGTCGGGGCCAATGGGCGAGTGGAGGAGGGCGAAGACGGAGGTGAGTCGAAAATCACGTCAACACATTTCACTTAATTTTGGCAGCAAAGAAGTAACGTTAAAGGTCCCGTATTTTACACTTTTCTTGTGTTATATTTGAAGTGTTGATCCATAAGAAGAAATATTTGTGGTTTTAAGTGAATACTAATATTAGCGTGTTCAGCTCAAGTCCACATTTCTCTGTGGACTGAGTGCTTTGATACTTTAGCCGCGTTTCAACCGCAGGAACTTTCCGCTGGAACCAGGAACCTTTTGAGGAACTATGCGCGTTTTGACCCCAGGATCCAGGGTCTAAATTTAGATCCAGGGTAATTGATCGACCCCCAAAAAGGTACCTGGTCAGGGGGTAGTACTCTCCAAAGGTTCAGGAACCTTGAGGGGTGTGGTCTGCAGTGCTGAACATTTCTGACTGGTTGAGCACTCGCTGCATTTTATTTCACCCGCCATGTTTAAAAGTCTGCACCGAGCGAACACATTTTCCGCAGCGCGAAACAGATCCGGGAGAAGGTAAAAAATTGAAACAGGACTTCAAAATAATAAAGAACCACAACAACCGGAGTGGCGAGGGTTGCCACCCGCCACGTGTAATATGGGATCGTCCCGTATTTGAAAATAAAATGCTGCGTCCTGTAGGCTATTGAATATATACGGGATGCAATTGGTCCCGTATTTTCGTTCATGTTATGTCCTCAAAGTGCTGTGAATAATGTAATGTCAAGTAATAATTTTGCATAATCTTCCCGGGACTTAAGTCTGCGGTGGAAACAGACAACAATGGGCCACAGAGAACCTTTTAGTCCCTGAAGAAATACGGCTTTTCACAGTAATAATATAGAACCTAGACCTGCTTTATAATCCAACAACACATGGACATTTACCCGTATACTATATAGAACTTTAACAGTTTCTAATGTTTCTGTTTTTTCAGGACATCACATCAAGAAATGAGTAAAAGAAGAGAAGATGAGTGACATGAGCAACTGGAGGAGAGAAAGAGGAAAAAGTCTGATGGAAATTCAGCGGAAATATTTTACATTTCACCAACCGTTTGCATGTAAGTTGCACTTAAAGGACCAAGTTATACTGAGCTCCGGAAAACATTTTACAGCTGCACCTGTTTGACTGCAAAACTTCGAATTTGAATGTAAATCTTTGTGTGTTTTGTTCTCTGAGCTGAAGGGCTGCACTTCTCATTCTGATTGAAATGAATTTAAACACATTTTGTATATTTGACTTTTAAATCTAAAGAAAAAAGTTCTGGGAAAATCCAGCATGGTGTTGCATCCAAACAAACTTTTGTATTTTATGTCAACACAGCACTCAAGCTTTTCAAACTGAGAACTGTACAGAAATATTCCAGATTTAACACAGTGACTAATCTGACTTTGTGTCTTGTTGTGAACACAGCTTTTCACCAGCATCATGTTTGGATTTTCCCAGCGAAGAAAACAGTTTGTTTCTGATAAAATGCTGAAGGAACTCTTTAACATGGTGACACAAGTTACCGTAGTTTAGCCATGAAAGATGAATAATTTCCATATCAAATACAAAACATCCAAATATATGTGACATATATTTAAAAGACTAAGTGTATCTTCTGGTTAGTAGCTGAACTTGGCTTTTTTTGAGCTGTCCACAGTGACCAAACGTCTGATGTTCAGCGTCTGAGAACAAATTCAGGTCCAGCAGCAAAAAAAAAAAAAAAAATTTAAATAACAGCTGTGACTTTTTCTCAAAAAACAAACCAAATGCACAAAACACCTGAAGTTCACATTGATCTACCTGGCATCTCTAATTGCAGGAGTTAAGTGCCATTTTTTTCCTGAGGAAACTGAATGAAGAGTTTTACACCAAAATGACAGACACAATAAAAAACAGACACAACACAAGATATTTTTTAAAAAATAATGTTGGTGTTGGTACATTAAAGCTGCACCGGGTCAGATTTTAATGCGACTTTGACCAGAGAGGGAAGGATGACTTCTGACTGCTGGACTCAGTTACATCCATGTTGCAGTCTGCAGAGACACATGTCGTTGTTTCGTTCACTCTGATGAATTCATACTGATAGTTAAAACTGATTAGGTATCGTTAATCTCGTCAGTTAAAGCGTCACATGTGCTTCAGTATCAGCTGTTCTCCCGATTTTCATGTTTGAGTTTTATGTCCTTTAATCTTAAAACAGCTTGAAATGTCAGAAATAACATTAGCAGGAAAACATAAAGCATACGATTTGAGTCATGAAGAAAAATATAAGACTTAGTTTTTCTAATGTTCCCTTGTGCAGCTTTAACAGTATCATGTAAATCTTAGATCGACTCGTTCTCTGCAGCGTTTTGTGGTAAAACTCTGTTAAGTGCCTAATAATACAGAATAATACAGGGAAGTGTTAGATTTGAACCTGAAATGCTGCTGAAACATTAAACAGACCAGCTGCAGTGATTAATGGGGATATTTGATTTCATCTGCCTACTGGAGCAGCTGGGTGGAGTTAGTATGTCAGAGGAAATACATTTTCAAATACAGTGGACTGTGGAGAAGTCAGTGGCTGGTTTTATAAAAACAGACTGAAAAGGAGTTTTAATAAGAACAGACACATGACATGTGACTGGTTTCTCTTTGATTCTAAAGAATCTAAAGCTCCCTGGCTGGCTGTTTCTTGGAGCAATGCTCTCTGGGACTTTGTGTTGTTATAGTTTGAAGTGAATTGACTCCATCACCGTGTTAAAATGGGTCCAACCAAGCATCAACCTTTGGGACTGAATGCTAAAAACTGCAGTTCCTCTAATGACCACTAGAGTCTGGCTCCAACAGTGAGTCAATCCCCATAGACTCCCATGTTAAAATGTCCAACTTTACAGCAGAAATAAACATGTTTACAGCCTAGTACAAAAACAGTTTTGGTCTCTAGAGCTAATTTCCTCCTTCATGACAAATGTTTATATAACTCACCTGTTTACATTTCATGAAGACTTAAAGTTATGGAGACTTCAGGATGCCACACAACCAACGTCTCAGATCTACGCATGCCCCACCTCTTTGGGATTTTTGGGTTAGCTGGGAGTTAAGGGCGGAGTCAGGCACTGCCAAGATGGTGATGGTGGAGCAGCTCACTCTGAGCTTCAGAAACCTATGGGTGATGTCACAGAGGCTATGTCCATCTTTATTTGCTGTCTGTGGGTCCAATGCACTTAGACCATTCACTGTCTATTCCCATTTTTCCACGACATGGTACAGACTCTACTTGCTTTTGGTACCAGGTTCTTCCTTGTTTGGTACCAGGTTGTTCTTTGTAACTATAGTGACAGTGCGCAAACGTATTATGACATCATCCTCAACGCGACACACACATGAACAATAGAGGATATAGAAGGGAACCCAAACGTTTCCACTTTCTCATTGACCATGGCGTGGTTTTGGGTGCTTTACTAAAGGGATAGAACAGTAACAGGCAGAACGTCTCATCTCGTACAATGATGACTCCGTAATGACGATTCTGTCTGACCAATCAGTAGTCTGCGGTGTTTTTACCTCAGCTTGCCTGGAACCTCAGTGGAGGTGATACCAAAAAAAAGTAGCAGGTACCAGATTCTATCCACAAGTTTTGCCTGATGGAAAACCAAAGAAAGTGAGTTGAGCCGGTACCCTGCAGAGGAACAGGGCTCTATGGGAGAAGTGAAACCCCATGCTGTCTGATATGATCCCATCTACTTCTCAGCCCATGTTGAACTTTTCTCAGCCTCTGACTGCACAGTTTCTCCAGGATCTCGCTGTCTTTGTTCGTGCATCTGTGGCGGTTTTAAAATCCACGTGTGAAAACAGCCTCCACCCAGCTGGCATCACAGGCAGGAAGAAATACCATCACCTATTCACAGCTCCTGTATAAGTCAGGTCTGCTTCTGTGTGAAGGTTAACTCTTCTTCACACATTTTACAGGGATTTCTGAAGGAGCAATAAAATAAAGGAAACCAGACAGTTGAGTTTCATGGGAGAACATTTAGGATTTCTGTAACAAAATCAGGGAGTTTAACTTGGTTTGAACAGTTTGTATAGATTATGTTACCACTCTGTGACTCCTGAAGGAGGAACAAAGAAAATAGAAGTGTTGCAGGAAGCTGGACTAAACAAATGTAAAGAAAATCTTGTACTGTTACGGCTTTATAAGGTTTTGACTTTATAAAGTTGTTAAAATTCAATCATGTTTGGGCCTCAAACTACGCCAAGACTTTTAGCGAACTTTGAAAAACAAAGAGATGAGCTGTGTTGTTTTTAGCGACGGCACAAATCAACTCTTCCTGTGTGAAACTTAAATGTTTTCATGTGTTTTTGTGTAACAAACTTTGACCATATAAGTCTTCATGTTCCAGATTGTCTGAAGGGATTAGAATAAGTACAAATGTGTCTGTTCAAACAGTTGTGATAATCATGCTATGTTTATGTCGTATGGAAATGAATCTAAAGTACCAGATCCAAACTTAAATAAATACTTAACTACTGTTCATCAACAAGTCAAGTATTTTTAATTACAGCCAGGAAAATTCGATTTTTCTGTTAGCAATTTTGGGCTTAATAATACAGAAGTGCTTGATAAGTCAAACAAACACGGACGCCTCATCAATCGAAATCTGTCGTTACACGAAAGAATAACGACAAAAGAATATTTTTACACGACCAACTCTGCCGTCACTCAACTGCGAATTTTCTGTTGATGTGAATCCCTGAAAGTCATAAACTTTTCCGTCTCCTGTGACATGAACACAGCATATGATATAGAACATGAAGGGTTAAAGGTTGAGGTCACACCAGAAGTGATGCGGCAAATTGCTAACATGCTAGCAACCCAGGAACACGGTAGCACCAAGCTTCTTTATATTTCATATTTTATATTTCATCTTGGTGCAAAACGTAATTCCACTAAAAATGAATTGACTTTGCTGTAAAAATTTGACATAATAAATTCTGGTGTGACTGAGCTTTTAAAACAGAAATTTCTCTCTTTCTGTGTAAATCAAGACTTTCTGAATCGTGTTTATTCACTTAAAGTGCCAAATGTTTTGAAATCTGATGATTCAGGAAAAGTTACGTCACCAATACTTCATCAATGAACACATATAAATCTATATTACTAATATTTTTAATACTGCTCTGCATGACTTTGTATTACTTTGCATTTAAAGCTGCACCTATAAATATATTTATATTAACGACAGATCAAATTACTCTGTGTAATGTGAAAGGTGTTGCTCATAGTTTTGAACCCACTCAGAATCAACACCGAAAAACTTTTTAGCCTCTTTTAGCTCTTAGTTTTGGTTTTACAGCCAAAATATGAGCCAAGTATATTTTCACAGGAGCTGGTGGAGACCAAAAACTGAGGGAGTACTGGACAGGTGACACAAACATGACTCCAGATGAATGGTCATGTTGCTCTGTAGCTGCTAACATGTTATTGGTAGCTCGTGCTGCCCCCTGGTGGCCAAAAGCCAAGAAAATGCAGCTTTAAATGATCAAAGTTAAACGTGGATCAAGTTTGGCCTTTTTTTTTTTTACATTAAAAACTTTTCTTGAGATGTTGTAAAATATTGAATTTAATGCAAAATACAAATAAGAGGAAGTTCCTTTGATAAAAATCAACATTTAACATGAATCGCACCTTTAGATATGCTCCTGTTGTGTGTGAAGCAGTTACTGTACATGGTGTTAATGATGTTGTACATAGATTTTTTTTATTTATCATTGACTGCACTTGTTTCCAAAAGTGGAAATGTGATACTCTGCTTGTGACAGCACTTATCTGTCCTGTACTGTATTCATGTCCTTAAAGTCTGGTTCAACAGCTGTTCTGAAAACTGCAAAATTAAGCCTTAAATGAGATGCCAACCAGATTTCAAATTTTATATTAATAAATCTGATGTATTTGCTTCCAAAACGACACTTGAAAGAGCAGTGTGGATCGCTGAGTCTCCGTCAGTAAAATGGTCTACTCTAAATGAACAAAAAGAAATTCAGTGATTTGGATGATGGGTAGTTTCCCGTTTCGGCCTTTTGGTGGCGCTGTGTTTAAGATTTAATTTTTACAGTATTTGGCATATTGACAGAGTGAAACTTTAAGTGAATGTTTATCGTCCATTAAACCCTGTTATAAAGACCAACAGTGTATTTGTGTTCAGTGTAACCTGCATGTTTCTGTCTTTTTCACTGTGACTTGCACTTCTCCAGAAGGGTTAGGGTTTGGAATCAGTTTTCAGGTGAAGTTGACTGAAGAGGGGCCTGAAGGTGGAAACAAGCTGATGGAGGTGACGACGAATTAAAAGGTAGAAATACACTGAAGGAATGACTAAAAGACAAAAAATGTAAACTGTTCAGAATCCACAATGACACAGTTTCCACTTTAAGTTACTGAAATACTTCTGTATAAGAAAGTAGAGAGGAAGCTGCAGCACAACAACACCAGAGAGGTGTGGAAGGGGATGAGGACCATCACTGGCTATAAAGAGAAGAACAGCCAGGCAACATCAGGTGATGTGGACAAGGTCAATGAGGTCAACCTGTTCTACAACAGGTTTGACACAGCCTCACCTGTTCTCTCTCCCACTGCTTCAGCTGCAGCTTCTCCTACAGCATCTCCTCCACAACCTGACACTGCAGCTGCAACTCCCTCCACACTGGGGTCAAGTCTTCTGTCCTTTACAGCGGAGGAGGTGAGGGCAGAGCTCAAGAGGCTACATCCTGGAAAAGCAGCAGGCCTGGAAGGTGTGTGTCCGAGGCTGTTAAAGGACTGTGCAGCCCAGCTGGCTGAGCCTCTCCAGAGGATCTTTAACTTAAGTCTACAAACAGGGAGGGTCCCGGTCCTGTGGAAAACATACTGTCTTGTCTTACTAAGCAAAGTAACTGTGTCACTACAGGTTAAGACTTTAACTTAGCTCCATCTCTTAAATTGATGTTTATTCATTCGTGCATCAATAATTAGAATTGAATATAGATTCTTCTAAAATGGGCCATTCTGCAGAATCAACTTTTACTTTTGACACTTTTAGCATATATTTGCTGCTAATACTTTTATTTGCAACCGAGTATTTACACTACAGCAGTGTAATGCATTCACTTGAGAAAAAGAAATCTGCTCTGCTTTTCTGAATTACCGAGATCATTATCTCAGAAATCTGGCTTCTGTGCTACACTGGCGTGGTGTAACACTACTTTTACAGTACGTCTTTCACCTGTGCTTGAAAATCCTGGATCCTTGGATCTTTAAAAATCCACCAAATGCATCAGAAACAGATCACAACCTGTCTTTGAATAGAATACAACAGTTTTTAACAATGAAAAAGATCTATTTATTCTTTGTGAAACTCAAGATCAGAGAACAGAGACAGCAGCTGTTTTTATTACAAAATTACATGATCACAAAAAAAAACAGTCAGTGACAGTATCACAAAATGCAAACATGACAACTGTGCTTCATCTTCACTCATCCCGCGATAAAAAAAATCAAAACTGATAAATACTGAACAAACAGCTGTTGGTTATTCATGGAGAAGAGTTGCAGATTTAACTGTTTAAGACAAACATGCAGATTTATTTTCTAACACAGAGGAACTGCTAAAACAGAAACAGTCAACAACAGTCAGTCGATTGACAGACGATTTTCTTTGTTGTACATGATAATAATATGAATGTTTTTAGGTTTTAACTGTTGGTCGGACAAAACACCACATTCAAAGGATGTTGGAAATTATAAACAGGTATTTTCGCTATTTTCTGACATTTTATGCAAAAAAAAAACAATGAGAAAATAATCAACAGATTTATTGGTAATGAAAATAATTATCTGTGGTTTAGAAATGTCAAAAACTGGATTTCATTTTTGTCAGTGAAGGTGGTTATAACTGTAGCATCACTGTCTGGTTAACATTATGTATAAAAAATTATAAATAAAATAGCACAGAACAATCAAGTCTGTGAATCCAGACAATTTGCCACTTTTGAAAGTTTCTATGGCAAATAAACAGAGACTGAAATGATGTCACATGGCAGAGAGAAAAAAAAAGCCAAAAAAACAAAACAAAACATGAAAAACAGCATTAGTAAAAGGGAATGTGACTTAAAATCACTTCACAGGACATTTCCTCAATGAAACAACAAATAACAATTTAAGTGACTGAATCCACACCGACAAAAAAGTCAAGTTTGTTGTTTTGTGTTCGTTTCCCCCTAAAACTGATTCAGGAAAACAGCAGCACTCATACAAGCTGCCTCGTGTCTTCCCCGCCGACATGTTAATGAATATTTATAATAACACTTTACTTCAGCCATCAAACCTTCTCTGTTCTTTACTGTTTCTCTTGTTGAATTTGTATTTTTGTATTTTATTGTTTATTTACATGTCTTGTGTTTTAGTCTTTTAACATTTTGGAACCATACTGAAATTTTCACTTTAACATTTTATCCCTTGGGCTGTTTTATGTCTCCTATCCATAAATATACTCATGTAACATTTAAAGGGCCCTTTGTTATTGGGGCCCTAACACGATGCTACTTTCTGAGCATCGTGTCAGAACTGAAACAATTTGTCAGTTCATCAAACAGTCGACTGACAGAAAATACATTTTCGTTTAATCAAGGACATTGACAAATATTTGCTGCTTCCAGGTTGTTAAATGTGAAGAGCTTCTGCTTTTCTCCCGTTTATATTAAATTAAAGTAAACTGATCATTTCTGGTGTTTGACATTTCACAGACTACATTTATTTTCATAATCAGTTGATTAAAAATAATAAATTACTTGAAGTTCCCGTTCAATGAGTCTGGTGCACACAGCAGGCGACACATGGCAGCTTCATTATTATCCCAGAGACTCTGACTGAAGGTCCTACCCCCAGGTTACTGTGTGGTATTTTGATTAATCACAATTATGCAACAAGTTAGCACAACATAAACTAAATTAAAGGCAACTGCAACTAGGGTTGTGCCAATGGATGATGATAACAGTGATGGACGATCATCAGAACCATTGCCGGTTGCTCATGTCTTTGCAAATGTCAAGATGATATCTGACTATTTTTCCCCTTTATGTAGTAACTTATTATTTGTATTATTAAATTAATACTAAATTTAATTTGCCTGCCAGTTTAATAATGTATATAATCACATATTACTGACGCTTGCAACATGCGCACACACACATACTGTAATCAGCTGATTGTTATGAAGCTGTTTGTTGTGTTGTGAATAGAACTTCTGGAGTCACTCCTCTGAGCTGCTCAGTGAACTCAATGGTTGATTAGTGTATTAGATTAAGATGAAAAGACAGAAAACATCCTTTCATTCATCATTCACTCATCTTCTCCCTTATTTGGTCACAGGGCCACAAAATTAGCTCAAGGTAATGAAAATACTAAAACCAACTGGGACCTGGTCTGGTTGGTAGTCCAGTCCTCCAAATCTCAAGTTTGGCGAGTTAATTTATAACCATGGTTTCATGATGACTCTTCTAAGTTATTAAGATTTTAAATCACCAACATGATCGCGTGAGGAGACTTCAACAAAAAACATTGCAGTGATATTTTTTTTTTAGAGGCAGAACTGAATAAAGTGCAGGAGAAAGTCAACAGCTGTTCAGCTGGTGGGATCTGACCCCTGAAGCTTTGTCGGCACTGTCACTGTACAGTGGGAGTGAATCGTTTCTCCGCTGCGTGGACTGTGATGTGCCGCCGCAGGTGGCTGCCTGATATAAACGTCTTGCCACAGTATGAACACCTGAACTGTTTACAGTCCGTGTGGACTGTCATGTGGACCTTCAGGGATCCTGACTGGGCGAAGCGTTTGCCGCAGTGCACACAGCCGTAGCGTTTCTCCCCGGTGTGGACGCTCTGGTGGCGTTTCAGGTTGCTGGAGTCGGAGAAGCGTTTGCCACAGAGCACGCAGACGAACGGCTTCTCGCCCGTGTGAACCCTCATGTGGGTCTTCAGGTTCTTCAGGCAGGCCAGAGTTTTGCCGCAACAGTTACAGACAAACGATTTCCCGCCGCCATCCTCTCTGCTGTGGTTGGCGGCTCTGTTGACTCCATCCTGATGTCTCCACCCGTCCCTCCTGGTGAAAGCATTTTGTCTTCCTGTCACCTCTTTCCTCACTGGATGCTGAGGCTCATCTGGAGCAGGTGGCGCCCTCTGCTGGTTGTCTGTGAACGTTGCAGGCTGCTGGTGCTCTGCTGCAGACAGACTCACCTCACTGACGGTGAAAGGGAAGCTGCTGCTGCTGTTGCTGCTGCCTGAATCAGCTGAAACACTTAACACACTGGCATTCAACACGTACGAGCAGCAGGGATCATCGCTCAGAGGATTCTGGGTAGGGAGGGAACCGTGCTGGAGCTGCGGCTCATACATCAGACATTCGTAACTGCTGGTGTCCGACCTCTGGCTGGTGTTCAGGGTTTTGTGGACGGACACAGAAGTGGAACTGACTTCCCCACTCATCCAGGATCGTGATGAATCGCCGCCTTCATCTACTGTTTCCTGTTTGGTCACCGTGGGTGGAGCTTCTGTCTCAGTCGTCTGTCCTTCAACAACACGAGAGAAACTCTCTGGAGAGAAAGAAAAGCAGAATATCACACCTTTTACACAAGTGTACAAATTTCCACAGGTTCACTTAAACTACAGTGATGTATGTGGAAAATTTAAATCAGAAATATTCAATAATTAACATTAACATTATCATTTTCATCATATTGGTCAGGTCCATACGCAACATGCACTGATGGACCTTTGTCAGTCAACTCCTGGCCGCCTGTTTGAGCCATACTGTGGACGTGGGTCTAATTGCTGTATGAAAGCAATTGGACTTTCTTATGGTTTACTGTGTCCAGAGAAGACTGACGGTTTCAGAGAGGAGTGAGAGAAGCCATTTACGACATACAAACATTTGTGAACGAACTTCAAGAACCTCAAGCAAGTCCAGATGCCTTTGTATAGCTCTTAGAAATACCATGACCTGGACCACTGAGAGTCCTCACGACATCATGGACATCAGCTACAATTAACTCACAAAAAGAAATTAACTAATTATAATGGTCTCACATTACCTGGGCCACATTCAAGGTTTTCACAGGTCCAAATGTTTGGACCGGAACCAAACCACACCTGAGGAAAACCTACCCAAACCCAAAGTACGTATTTTAAGTAAAAGAAAAACAGAGACCCAACCCAAAAAGAACCCGAGGACAGCAAGACTGGCTCTGAACAGACACAAGGATAAGTAGACCTGATCCAGAATGTGTTGGACCTGGACAGAATTTCTTTCACCTCCCTCTCTGTTTGCCTCAAAAACAGATTTTCTCTCGAGTCACCTCGGATCCTCTCAGGTATTACACACCCTGATTTAAGATCTGCAGTAATACAGCAGGTCTTGAGTCGGGGGCAGCAGATGGACTAGGTCTGAGGGTTGCTTCTCAGATGGTAGTCACCCAGTTAACCCACAAATGCCTCTAGCCCACATGTTGCAGTTTTGGACAGTTTTCAGTCAGTATGTTTTAATAAAGTGTATGTGCCCTGTTTTTTTCACTAAACCTGTACTTACTGTCCTGCTCAGACTGGGACCAGGACTCGTCATCGTCCTCCACTTTGATCACTGTGGTTGTCAGGTTGGCTGACTCACCTGCAGCAGGCTGTAATCACAGCAGAAAAGGAACACTGAGTGAGGGACAACACCAGGACTGGAGGAGTTAAAGAAGGAACGCTGTATTCACTCATTCTCCTACCTACCGTTACCTGTGTTGTTTCTGGTACAGAGTCAGAGGGCGGCTTGGGGTCTACGCACTGAGGCAGCTCCTGGAGGGGCACTCTGGACAGCACCGGCTCACCTAGAAGACATGATTCATTGTGACGCCTGTTATTATTGTGTAGAGTCTAGAGCTTTCAACTGCATCTCCTGATCTTCCTCAGCAGATGAAGTTTGAAAGTAATGCTGAGGAAGACCAAGAACAGTTTCCATGTCAACTGAAAAACTGAGCAAAACATAAGGTTGACAGCTCTGACAGAAGCTAGTAAGTATAAACTGAGTTGATATCTTAGTTACTTACTTGTAACTATAAGAGTGAGCTTTCCAACTCTATTAAAGGAACATTTTGTCCTTTTATTTCACAATTTGGGGATTATTTTCCCACTTTTGACCATTATTCTCTGGTGGCTTTGAACCTTAAAATGTTAGCGGAATTTGTTGGGTCACTCCGTTACGTGCGAAAACGCAGAATAAACTTCCTAATACTGTTTTTTTTTCATTTGGTGTATTTTTGCGATAATCAAGACGCAAGATGCGCAGTTTTACGGAGGGCAAGTAAACACAACTCACGTTCCAGAAAAATGTTCTACTTGTTGCGTTCTTTACTCTCCATAAATTAAACTCTTTTAACGGTTACCTGCAGGTGTTCGATTCCTCCTCGGGTCGTTGCCCGGGTGATGAGCGGGCAGCTGAGCTCGAGCCCGGCCGCTCGCATGCAGCAGCGCGGTGCCGCTGCCTGTGGCCGCGGCTCGCAGTGCGGTGGCGCGAGCGGCGCGGAGCTCCATGAGCCGCAGTTTTCTTCGCAGGACCTCGTTCTCTTTGCGGCTCCGCGAGATCTCCAGCTGCAGCACCGAGTATCCGCTGTCCACGAGCTCACAAATCTCCGCCACCGCCGTGTTGGCCAGCACCTCCATTATGGAGGCCAGCTGAGCGTGAAAGGCAGCGGCCGGGGACATTTTCAATCCACCGCGCGCCTCTTTGTTTGAACAGAACCCAAATCACCAGCTCTAGGCAGGTAATAAAGGCGGAACCGCAGCGCGCCCGCTGCGCGTTTTTGAATGTGTGATCCTACCTGGCGTAAACAGTCCCGACACAAACCAGGAAGTGATGAGAGGAGCGAAAAACGACTAGACACAACCCAAAGTGCGCATGTGCAAGTTTCCAAAAACATTCCATTTATGAAAACCTGAAAACATTCACTCACCCAAAAAACAGACGTGTTTAAAATTTTAGATCTTGTAACTGAAAATGTGACGTCAGACAAGTTTGATTTGCATTCAGAGTTACAACTAATGACCTCAGTAACGTATTCACATCGCTATTTTCTGTGCAACCAACCCCAAAGATTTCAGTTCGCTATTACAGATGAAAACATGCAAATATGAAGACGCTCAATGATTTGGATAGTTTTTTTTCTTTTTATAATAATAATAATAGTCATAATAAGTATTATTATTGTTATTATATAATGATGACGTTATTATAATTATTATTAATGTTATCATCATTATCATTACTAATCACTTAGTGTTTTTGTCGTTTTGTGGCTGTTTTGCATCTCTTTCGCCGCTGTGCGTCTCTTTGTAGTTGTTTTGTGGTTGTTGTCCTTCCTTTTATCACTTGAACCATGCTGTTTTTCGTCCTTTCTTACAATGAGAATCATGTTGAATGGCCAGATGATAGTTAAATGATAGTTAAAGGATATGTTCACATCAATTCAAGCTCGTCTTTTGATCCCTTCCCAACACAAAGAGTAAGAGATGGAGGACAAAATCCACAGTCTTCATGTTGTGTGAAAACGAGGTCTAAAGTTCAGCTCTAGCTAGTTTTGAATGTTTACTTCATGGTGATTTCTGCTGTGTGCCTTAATGTGGCTTCATTATAAACGTTAGCTACACCACAACTAAATAATCTTATCTGTAAAAAACAATCTTGAATTTATTTTTTAGAACAAGCTAATTATATCATCATAAAAAAACCCAACTCTAGGTCAAATATTGTCTTATGTCATGTAAACAATTCTTTGAATTCTCTGGAAAACATTCTCATATGAAAACAGCATAAAAAAACATTACTGCTCCAGCGACTATACTCATCAACATTTTCCCTTCAACTTTGTATTTAAATACATTTCAATTCCTTGTGTGAAATTTTAATCCTGAGTGTACAAACACAAATCTATATTCACAAAGGCAATAACTGATACAAAACAATTAGAGAATTTGTTTTATTAACAAGAAGGGCACATAAACTGGGTTTCATTTATAGTGTTTTACTTTTTACACAACCATCAACCTTTCATATGAAATGATTTTTGATCTATACACAAGACTTTAAAAAGGAGAGACAGAACTCAACAGAAATCTGGAAAATTTGAGGTTTCATCAACAAAAACAGGCAAAAAAACAGAAAAATGCCATGGTGACATCTTCAAATGTCTTGCTTTCTGTGACCAAAAAACAAGAACCAAAGATATTCAGTTTACTGTCATGTTAAAAGACAAATTATCACATATAAGAAGCTGGAAATTATCTTGTAAAAGACTAAAATGATAATTAAATTATTAAATTATATAAATTAACTGATCTCTGGGCTAATGTTTAAACATAAAACTTGAACTGTTCAATATTTTTTAAAACAAACATTGGGGCTCAATTTGCTTTATGCACCATTTAAAAAAAATTGTACTTGAGAATTTTAAGTGACATTTCTTCTTTTTAAAACCGGATATTTACAGAACATAAACACACTCGTTCCCTCAGATGTTTGGGTGACATTTCTTCATGTGTAACTTGAGGCTGTATTTGACGATGAAGCTCCTGGAGCAGAGCGTGCAGGCGTACGGCCGTTCTCCGGAGTGCACGCTCAGGTGCGACTTCAGGTGAGCCGACTGGGTGAACTTCTTGCCACACTGGCTGCAGCTGAACGGCCTCTCGCCCGTGTGGATCCGCATGTGAACATCAAGGTTCTGAGATGTGGCATACGTCTTGTTGCAGATGGAGCATATGAAGCGTTTCCCTCGGGCGCCGGCGCCCGGCTGCCCGTTACAGAGCTGAGACCGGCCCGACTGGTCCCTGTAGAGGGCGAAGTTCATCATGTCGGCGTCCTCGTACTCAAACGCCGAGTTGCTGCTCTCGGACAGCTGGCAGTCCGTGGAGGTCGAGCCCGACACGCTGATCAGCTTGAGCCCGAAAGCGTCACCGTCCATGTTTTCGTTTTGGTGAAACTGAGCAAAAGACATCTGACTTTTTGACTGTTTGGTCCATGTGAGACTGAGATCCATTTCTGCTCTGTTTGAAGGAGACTGAGACTCCATCAGAGAGCTGGCGCCAAAGTAAGTCTGTCTGTTCGGAGAAACCAGCGAGCAATCCTGGTGGACCAGATGGATGTCTGGGTCCAGCTGTGAGGAGTAGGAACAAACCGACTCGCTGGCCTCCACCTCATCGCTGCCACCGAGCTGAGCGGAGCAGCCCGGCTCGCTGCGAGGAGAGTCCAGAGTGTAGACGGACACGCTCTTCTTCTGCGTCCCTGTGGTCAGCTTGGATGTTTTCAGCATGACCTGCTCGGAGGACGACTTCTTCTCAGCCTCATCGTTTCCCGGCCAGTGTCTCTTCATACTCCGGCTGATGGGAGACGTGACGGTCTCTCTGGCTGCAGCCGTCCCTCCATCAGCAGAGGTTTGGTGATCTGAAAGAAAAGACAAGAGTACATCCTCACCAAGGTAAAAAAAAAACAACAGTCTCCAGTCCTGAAAATGTCCATCTAAACCAGGCTGTTATGAACCTGAACACTGATTTGTTCTCAAGTCAGTACATTACGCGCCAATACAAACTCAACACTTCCTGTAACTGTTTCAAATTTAAAGCCCTCTAATGTTTCAGTGGAAAGAAACACTTTGATATTTCTTAACTTATTTTGCTGAGGTCCTTTGCAGTGGGTCCCTCACAGAACCAACACAGTAATCATCATCATCATCATTTTTCATGCTTTTCATGCTGTGCACGTGTACCCATTTATCTAACCAGTGACCCTATTTGAGGCCCTGAGCCAGAGGTTGAGAAGCCCTGGCTGTGAGTGTGTGGTTTCCACTCACCTTCCTCAAAGGTGTCATTACTGTCCGAGTCTTCATCTTTGATCAGCACCACCTCAGGAAGCTGCAGCAGACGAACAGTCATACGAGTTTTATCTCTACATACGAGACAAATTTTTTTAAAAACAGCTAATTAATCAAGATAAAATGTCCCTTGAGTCCTGATTGGCTGACTCGTCTTTACAGTTAATTTAAATTTTAATGAGAAACTAATTAAAAAGATGAAATCAGGGATTAAGATCCAACAATTGTTCAAACCAAGATCAAGCTCCAGCCAATGATTCACTAATACTATACAATTGTTAACAACACTGAGGGACCAACAGTAAGTCTACATATCAATGCACAGTTACTGATTCTGATTTAATCCCATTACCTCAAAGTTAACTAACACATTATCTCAAGAACGACCTTTTGGTTTCATGAGATAACGAGATAATTAACACATTATCACCAAAATCCAGCTTTCATCTTGAGGTAACGAGCCTGAGATGAAAATAAATAAAAAACATTTATCTTGAGATAAAGGATCAACATCACTGTGACAGCAGAGATAAGGACATAATTAACTGCTGATCTGGAGATTATATGGGATTAAAAATATAATTGCATCCACGTCTGCTCTGGGCACAACGGCAGCTAATGTGTATTTTTAAAAGAAAAGATGCAATGACTTGTGCCTGCTCCTATATTATCAATATTATTACTAAAGCAAAAATAAAAAAAAACTATGGGGAAGCACTAAGGTCAACATGATCAGATGTTTTTACTGAGAAAACACAGTGCTGTAGTAAACGTGGGAATAATGAACAGCTTTATACTGTGAGAATAAACCATACAGAGCTTCAATTATTAATCAGTTAATCAATAAAAATGATCAACAGGAAATGAATCTCCAACTACTCTGATACACACGTAATCGTTTGTCATTTCTTAAGTAAAGTAATGAGAGGGTTTGATGACAGTAAACTGAATATTGTCAGTTTCAATTGAAAAAAAAAAAAAACAGCAGATTAATCGATGATGATCTAAAATTATAACAGTGTGAAAGCAATGCTTGTATGAACTAATTTCCAAAAAGATTAGATCTTCTTCACACATAAGTTCCCTTTTCTTTTAACTTCAAATTACAGCCTGATTATCTTGAGTATTATAATATAATGATATGATATACATGTACAGTGTACATACACTTGTTTTAATTATTTAGTATAATTAATACTGTCCTTGGGTGTTGCTGTAGGTGATGAGAGGTTTTTGTTTTGTCTTGTGTCAGCTGCCGTGTTGGGGAAGCCAGAGAGCTCAACTCAACTTCAGAAAACACATGCAAACGGAAGAAACACAAACAGATTCAGAAAACATCGATTTGACAAAACATGTGCTGCAAATACTCACAACACGACGGAAGTGTTTCCAGGTGACCCTGGTGGCTCACCTGGTACAGTGCGTACCATGAAGGTGTAGTCCTAACCTGAAGTTGTTGTGAGTTTCTGAAGTTGTTTGTGTTTGTCTGTTTGCATGTGTTTCCTTAAGTTGCAGCACATTGAGCCACCGTAGGAAGCTACTTGGAAAGCACAGCTTTGCAGCCACCAGTTACTTCACAGTTGAAGAAGCTGAACAACAGCAGAGCTATCCATCCATCCATTTTCTACCGCTTATCCTCTAGTAGGGTCGCGGGGGGGCTGGAGCCTATCCCAGCATCCTTTCGGGCGAGAGGCGGGGTGCACCCTGGACAGGTCGCCAGTCCATCACAGGGCAGACAGAGACAAACAACCATTCACTCTCACATTCATACCTATGGTCAATTTGGAGTAACCAATCAGCCTAGACCCCATTTGCATGTCTTTGGACTGTGGGAGGAAGCCGGAGTACCCGGAGAGAACCCACACAAGAGAAGGGGAGAACATGCACACTCCACACAGAAAGACCCCGCGTCCGAGCCGGGACTCGAACCCGGAACCTTCTTGCTGTGAGGCGACAGCGCTAACCACTGCACCACCGTGCCGCCCAGCAGAGCTATCAAGAGACATCAAGTTTAGTTAACGAAAGCTGTTAACTACTTGAACTGCATATCGGAATATACGGAATTATAACAAAATATAAGAACAAAAAGTCACAAAAAAAAAAGCGAAAAAAAAAAGCCAATCAGTTGAGTTTAATACAAAAAGTGTCGACTTGTTCACAGGTTCTAACAAAAACCAAACAGGTAAAATACTCCACTATTCATGGGAAAGTGCTGGGAGGCCAGGTTTGGTTTTGTTGAACAGTAACTGCCTCAGTATGGTCACAGTGATTCTGCCTCCGCCTGAGATTCAGGAGGCTTATACATGATGACATCATCGCTGTGTGACCACTGAGCGCCGCCAGCCCTCGGCTTTTGCACAGCGCCACACAAAGGTCAAGCGTGTGGTGGTGACTGTCTGATGAATGCATTGTCCGGACATGTCTTCACAGCCTCCGGGGCTGGTCAGAGGAGGTTCAGTTACAGTAGAGGAGCAATGATAATGTAAAAAGGAAAAATGATTCCTGTCCTTAGATTTGTAGTTTCAGTAGTTAACTACACAAAAAGCAATGAGTAATGCATTGTTATAGATTCAACTACATAAAACTAGATATGATACAGCAGCTGCGACGCCGTCAGCATGTTGACATTCCGACTGAGGACTCATGGGTTAGGCCACAGCCGTCCTTGAAGTCACATGACTTCATTTTGAGCTCAACTACACATCTGTAAAGTGTTGTGACGCTATCGCAGACGATCTAAACACTATAAACACCTGCCAAAGTCCTCAATACTATGGAAGCAGAGAAAGGACATACATATAAATATTTTTTTATCGCGTTATCTCAAAATAACAGAGCTCCTTATCCCGAGAATACGAGATATTAGATAAAACCATTTAGACTGAACCTCATACACTCCTTAGTAACTCGTTAGCTGTATGAAAAGACACGGTGTGATTTCTGCCCTTGATTGAAATATTCTCTGATGTTGATCAATGCATCATCGTGACATTTTCAGTTTACAGCTCTAGAAGTTTCCATCTGATCTCTGATGATCCAAGTCATAATAATAAGAAAACAAGCTTTGTTATCTCAAGATGACAGGATAATTATCTCGCTATAACAAAAAAACGTTTTCTCCTGATGATATCTCGTTATCTCGAGATAACAAAATGTCATTTTCTCCTGATAATATCTCATTATCTTGAGATAACAAAAACATTTTACAAAATCGTTATTGGGATAGCGAGCTTTGTTGAGATAATGGGAAAAAAAATACATTAGCAAGTACGGACTTTCTCTGCCTCCAAACAAAAGCTTAAAACTACATTTGGAAAAAATACTAGATTGGAAAGTGACTTTCTACAGGCCTCTCCCAGAACCCAGTAGAGTTCTTCCTGTAGCCTTTCAAGGCCCTTTACCAAATATGGAGTTGTGATTCTCCTGTGTTTTCTTGTCAACATCTATTGCTCAGAGATGTCACAACTTGATTAGATGCACCTGAGTGAAACGTGTAAAACTGGGACAAAAATGACAGAAACTGCCACCACAGTCAGGACCACAACCACAAGATGGAGGATGTGATAGTTGATATTTATGGAAGTGTAACGCATCCACTTGATTATATCAGAATCCTGAAATAATGATCTTGTTAATTCAGGAAAACTGAGAAGATTTGTTTTTCGTACATCAATGTATTACACTTCTATAGATTTTGTATTATAATTCGCTGTTACTCAGATTATGCGGACAGACATGATATGGAGCAAACCTACAGCCCTGACACATTAGTGCATGAGTAACATCGACCTAATGACACGACAGCCACAGGGACATGATACTTTTACTACTTCAAGTACATTTTCCTTTGACTTTATCTTTTAATGGAGTATTTTGACAGTGTGACAATACAACTTAATCAAGGGGTGTGGATAAGAACCGTTAAGACATGAGATAATGAAGCCAGACCGCCGTGTGTTTACCTCCTCCCGCACCACCACCGCAGCTCCTCCGTCTCCTCCGTCACCGTCCCCCTCCTCCTGCTGCTGCTGCGGGAGTTCCGCTTGCTGTGCAGCCACTACGACCTCCAGCTCGGCCTTTCCCCCGCCGCTCCCCCGGACTACGATGGACTCAATGAGGTGCAGCTTCTTCTTCAGGTCCTCGTTCTCCTTGTGGCTCCGGGTGATCTCCATCTGCAGGACCGCGTAGCCCTCGTCCACCACCTCGCAGATCTCCGCCACCGCCGCTTTGGTCAGCGCGCCCATGATGATAGACAGCTGCTCGTGGAGCGCCTTGCTGGTCAAAACGGCCATTCCCGCTGCTCGAGAGGAAACCGGGCCGGGCTCAGACTCCTCCTAACGGACCGCACGGGGCTCCGACAGCCTGTAACACACGCGGCGACGTCGATGAAGGAGCCGCAGACTAAATCTGTTTGGACATTAATGCTGCCCGTCTGCGACTACAAAGGATGAGCAATTATGTTTTTCTGTTTCCGCCCGACTCGCACTTCCGGGAAAACACCGCTGACTTCAAAATAAGAGCCTGCTGTTGTAAAGTAAAATGAACTAAAGTAAATAAACTAAACTACAGTAAAAAAGAGTAAATACAAATTCTAGTAAATGAATGCATTAAGAATAAAAAAAATAGAAAGGGAAAAATATTTTAAAAAAATAGAATAAAAGTAGGTTAACAAATAGGTTAAAAAAATAAGTAGGTACATTTAAAGAATGCTAGAATCTTAAAATAGTTAGGTTAAAAAAAACGACTAAATAGATTAAAAAGATATAAAAAGATCAAAATATATAGAGCAGATAAGTAGTTTAAGAAATTATTAAATTAAATAGATCTAAATGAATTAAATAAATTGGTGGAAAAAATTGCAGACAATCTATAAGAAGAAATAGAGTAAAAGTGGGAAAAAATTGTTTAATATTATAATACTTTTGATCCCCAAAATCATAAAAAATTGTATTTTCAATGTTCACTTGAGGAGGCTGAATGTTTGAAGGCACAGTACTCTGTAGCCACAGTGTTTGTGAAACACAGATATATATATATCCATATATTCTCATGTTTATTATAACTACAGCCTCCTCCAGGATCAGCACTTAATTCAACGGAGTTCATTTTTGCAGTTGGCCTGTAAAACCTGTCTGAGAGAACAATGATTTCCTGCTTCTTCCACACTGACTCCAGCAGGCTTGGTGAAGCAGTCAGCAGGCCCGTGGCCTGTGTGTGTGTTTTGTAAATAGATTCTTTTGTCTGCAGAGTGAAAAGCTGTTTCTCTCCTGTCTGAATGGCGAGCAGCAGCTCATGTGTGCTGCTATTGTTTAGACTGTAAATGGGAAACAAACAGAAGACAAAGGTGGAGCCATACTACTCACTTCACGATAAATGGGCTCAGAATCGACCTTTTACCATGTCTGACTTTCTCACTGGCAACAGAAAATCCTCACGTCTGATTGGCTGTCAAAAATCAATTCACTTTATTAACCTGCAGGTAACCATAGCAACAATACTGATTTTTTGGACTTTGTTAACTTTGAAGTGACTGATGAAACTAACTTAACTGGTAGAGAGATGCACTCAGCACTTAAGTGAAGGCACTGTAGCTGCATTTTTTCAGGTTCATCAGTTAATGACTTTTCATGTGTCACTTGGTAAGAGGCTTTTTACTGAATGAACAAGAAAAAAACTGTCAGAAAACATCTTTGCACCATCCATGCATCATCTATACCGCTTATCCTTGTAGGGTTAGGGGTCACGGGGGGCTGGAGCCAATCCCAGCTGACATTGGGCGAGGGCGGGATACACCCTGGACACACCCCAGTCTTTCACAGGACTGACATATGTAGAGACAACCAACCACTTGCGCACACATTCACACCTATGGGCACTTTAGAGTCATCTTCGTGTCGTTATCTTTGCACCAGTAATCTTCAAATTTCAAAATACAGAAATCTCTGGAGCAAACGAAACAGTCTCACCACAAGATCCATTTAATGGCTGTTCTGGAGTTTTCAATTATATAATTATACACCGTAGCTTACAGTGATATTTCATTTTTGAGAGAAGCTGAAAGCACAAAATTTCACCTTTTTCACTCGTTAAATAACTGAAATTATTATCAAAATTGTTGATAATTGATTGAGAAATTAATCAAAATTTTTCAAAGAAAGATTTCAAATGTTACCACATATAAATATAAACATATGGAGTCATTGTCATCATCAATTAATTTCCTGATTAATTATTCATTTAATCCCTAAAATGTCAGAAAGTGTAGAAAATATGCCTGATATTATTTCCCACAGCCTAATGTCTTCAAATGTCTGGGGCTGGTTGCACAAAACACCTTAAGTTTTCTTTTTAATTTCTCCTTAGCTGAGGGAGTTACTTAAGGTTGTTGCACATAATTTCTAAAACGGTTTCCTTAGTTAAGAAAAAAAGTTAAGGCATTTGCAGCAGTGAAAGATTTTACAGCAGTAAAACTCTACTGCATCGTTAAGGGTTTCTCCTGGTCGAGGAACACTCTCCTTGGGATGAGTTTATTGATCACTATAAACTCAGCTCATGTTGCAGTTAAGACAGATCAGACGTACCTTTAGTTTCTTGCTTTACTTTGCTTGCTAAGGTCTTCTGGGCAACGGTTTAACTGACTTTAAGTGATCCCTTAAGATAAGGAGAAATCCCTAAATACTTAAATGTACATTTTAAGGAGATCTTAAAGGGATAGTTCTGGGCCAGTATTCACAAAGCGTTTTATCTTATCACTAGTACTCCTTAGTCAGGCTAAAAGTTTCCTCCTAAGTCCTCTTCACAAAGCTGCTGAGACCAACTTTTACTAAGGAAAAGTAAAAACTCCTAAGTTAAGAGTCTGTCGCTAAGACTCTGTTACTATGGCTGACGTCAATTTTAATGGACGAGCTTGCTTGCAGAAACCACAGCGATTGGTTGTCTGTGCAGGTGAAAACGAATGCGCAACATCCCGCAGCAATAATAAAAACACTGAGAAATAAACAAATACAAATGAAAGAATAATGGATTCGATGCTGTTTACAAAAGTGGTGCGTTCTCCAAAAATCTTAACTTGATGTGTTTTGTTCGACCGGCCCCTGGTGGCCTGTGTCTGAAAGGGACTTTTTACACTCTACAACCAGATGTCAGGCCCCGCCCCCCTCCCACAGCAAAACCTGTGACACTGAACGAAGCAAACTCTTCATCAATTGCACGTGTTTAATTCCAGATATACACCAACCAGTGAACATTCTCATGCTTCTTACAGGTGTAGGCGCTGCAGGAATCTGTTCTCACCGGGCAGCTGTTGCTCGATTCCTGTAAAGTACTGATGTGGACTCCAAAAGGGCCACCTTGTTTTTGAGGTAAGAATGGATCTGGATGAGGTTGTAGTCCCACTTTGCTTCTGTGCAGAGGCAGTTCACAGTTCAAAATAAGTAAGGCCTGAAATTGAAACAGTAAGAGCTACTGATCACTTTTCCTATGTAAAAGTACAAGTTCCTCTAAAACCTCGTTAAAAGACCTTTACCCTAAACCGATTGGTTTAAATGAGCAGTCAAGTAACAGTAACAGCAGGACGTCACAGTTTAGAGATCAAGTGTCCTTGGTACCTCACAGTACCATGATGTTTCCAGTCAGTGTTCGTGTGTGGAGCTTCCTGCTCCCTGCTCGGCCGGGTGGTGTTTCTGCTGATGGATCCTCAGGTTCTGCTTCCCGGCGAATCTCTTCCCACAGTGCTCGCAGGCGAACGGCCGCTCCCCGGTGTGGACGCTCTGGTGCGTCTTCAGGTGACCCGACTGCGTGAAGCGCTTCCCGCATTGAGCGCAGCTGTACGGCCGCTCGCCCGTGTGCACGCGCACGTGTGTCTCCAGGCTCCGAGACGATGTGAAACATTTCCCGCAGTAGCTGCAGACGAAGCGCCTGTCCCTGCAGTATCTGTTCAGTTCATGAGGGTCTAGTCTGGAGCCGCCGAGGCCCAGCGCCAAGGGGAAACCTGCAGCGTTCAAGTCGGAGACCTTGTCCAGGAGCGATGGCCGGTGGTCCGGTTTGAGATACGGCCGTTGAGGCACGGGCACCATGCTGGGCAGACCCTGAGTGGTCCATGAGGAACAGAGATCCAGATCTGTGTCGTAGGGGAGGGAGCTGATCAGAGACACTCCCCGCTTCAGCTCAGAGGTCCCCGGCAGGGAGGTCGGACTTCCCCCAGACCCCAGGAGGAACTGCTTTCTCATGGGGGCTGAGGACGGAGCTTCACAGTCCGACTCTGACGCCAAATCAAACATGACATCTGACGAGCTGCTCTCAGCGGTCCCCACATGACCCGGGGACCCCGGTGCACTGTGGGAGTCTTGATGCTCGACTCGCTCCGACAGTCCGTCGCTGCTCTGATCCCACAGCCTCATGTCAGCCGCTGAGGGGGAGATCATGATCCCAGAGGGCCCCTCCTCTGACGGTTGCACTTCTGTCCCTTCACACAAACACACCAATAAACACTGAGTTTAGAAATAGGGCTGCACCATATGCAAAATATACCATATTGCGATACCTGTGAACATACTTTTATTTTGTAGTCTGATTTATGAGTGTGGCATTGAATAATGTGTCTGTTGCTGGATTATTAACGTTTCCTCTCTTACCGTCCTCATTGAGAAGCAGCTCGTTTGTGGCGTCATTGTCATTCACCTCCTCTTTTGCCATTTCATCCTTTATCAGAACTACATCCTGATCATTTGCCTCCTGGGCAGCTGTCACAGTGTCCTGAGTGGAGAAAACTACAGTCAAATACACTATATAATATTTGAATCTAGTTTATGATGAGAGATTAGCTGAAGTGTTGATCCATAAGAAGATATATTTGTGGTTTTAAGAACCAAAAACAATCTCAATGTAGTTTCCAGGTACACACTCAGAGAAACCAAATCCTGCAAGGCTGAATGGTGGGTCCAGGTGGGTGGGACTTGGCTGAGGGCAGTGACTGCTTTGTTGTGACATCACAAAGTTGCAGAAGTCCTGACGGCTGGTTTTAAGGCTCAGTTTCTGAATACAGGCTGTGTGCATTTCTCTGTGGACTGAGGCTTTGATACTTTCACAGTATTAATATAGAACCTAGACCTGCTTTATAATCAAACAATACATGGACACCTGCCTTTATACTATAGGGGACCTTTAATAGTTTTCTTGTAATGGACTTAAAGCTACATTACAGTGAGCTGAAAAATCTCTCTGGAAATTTAACTTTAACTTTAACTTAGGGATTTTATGCCCCAACCTCTCTAAGATTTAACAAAAGCTTCAGCTGTAATACATGAAGTATTGTGACATTTTCACCATGGTTTGGTGAGTAGTCATCTGGGCTGTCAATCAGAGATGATACCCATGAGGAGAGAGGTTGTCAAAGCTGAGAGGAAACGTTAGGAAGCCTCATGTTGGACCTGTGCTGTGTTGACTTGCTCTCACCTCTTTAGTCACAGGTTTCACGTCTGTCGCCGCCTCTAAAGCGGGAACCCGTCCATGCCTTTTGAGACCCGAGGCTTTCGGCTGTTTGACAGCCCCTGCAGTTGGTAAGGCACATTCTGGGTGAGAAAAACAAAAGACACTTATTATACTGGTTCATCAAATTAAATGCGGGGGAGCACTGAGCATCTTTGAAGGGGTTCTAGGTGAGTGTGACTGATCCCAGAGGGATGAGTGTGGCTGACTGTTGTAGTTCCAGGTGTCAGTGTAGTTTACTGCTGGGCATAAGTACAAATTTTCTTATATGTTCATTTTCATTGCTAGAAGAAGTACCCAGACATTTTACTAAAAAATATTAATACCACCATGAAGAAATAGATAGATAGATAGATAGATAGACAGATACTTTATTTATCCCATAGGGATTGTTACAAGTAAAAGTTCTGCATTAAAAATTAAAAAGTATTAGCATCAAAATATAGTTAGAGTACCAAAAGTAAAAAGTACTCATATTGCACAGCAGCTATTTCGGAATAGTGTTTGTTATTTTATTGGATTATGAAGATAAGATATTCCTATATTAGTAACACAGTGGGGAAATTAGCAGTATTCCAGCAGAGTGGCAGTGCAAAGAAAGAAAAACTGCAAAATTACAGTACCAATCACTTAACTTTCAGCTGGTAAGTTTAATTACTATACTGTTGGGTGATGTGTGAATTTCTCCCCAGGGATCAACAATGGTCTCCCCTTAACTTGTAATAATACATTATTTAATTGTTGTTTATGTTTTGTATAATTACTCTGAGTAATACTCCAAAAAATGCACAATATGTATGTATGTTTTGGAGTAGAAGTGTAAACTAGCAGAAAATGGAAATACTCAAGTAAAGCTCAAGTATTTCCAAATTGTACTTGACTAAATCTTGGTTACTTTCCACCTCTGGTCACCTCTTGAGAGATGGTTCATGTTGTATTGTGTAGGTGAATTATTTGAGCATATTCATATTCTTTATAGTGGGAAATAACAGACTAGGTTCAGTACTCTTACTGTTAAACTGTTTTAATTTTCTACATCATATGCTCGGAATAAATTAACTGTCTCGATGCGTTTTCTGAATATTTCAGATCAAGTCTTCAATTCGGCAGTCATCATATAGGGGGAAACAATTTGTTCAATAAAATTAGTAACTTGGATAACTGCTGACTGTCTCTACTGTTGTATGCTTTGCGTGGATCAGAAGACAGCGGTAATGAACAGATAAAACGGTTGAAAAAGTTGACAATGGGTGCAGCCGAATTTGTAAATGACCCTGCAAATGAGCAATTATGTGATGCTGAGAATAACATATCCCTATTCTTGACACCACTGCTGAGTAGAAACGTTTTTCAACAGTTTTCCTGTGGGGATTGTGTGCGCTCTGTGTGTACGGAACAACGGCAGCGATGAGGACTCCATTCATCACAGTGCACATCCTGCCACCATCACCGATGGGTGAACCTGAGTGAATCTCCTCCGGCGGGAACTCACCGACAGTGAAATCCATCAGCCCCCCGCCGGCCTCTACCACCGGCTCGCCGTAATCCAGCATCGCGATGCTGCCCCGGTGTCCCCGGGCGATGATGGTCTCGATCATCTCCAGCTTCCTCCTCAGCGCCTCGTTCTCCTTGTGGCTCCGGTTGATCTCCAGCTGCAACACGGCGTAGCTCTCATCCACCAGCTCGCAGATCTCCGCCACGGCCGCTTTGGCCAGTGCCTCCATGATGGACGTCAACTGAGCATGGAACGCCTTGTAACTCGTCATCTTGAGCCGATGTGTAAAGTCAACAATCGCCCGGAACGTGAATTAAATCAACATCAGCAAAACACGGCGCGTGCAAAGAGGAGATCAGCGTCCGCTGTGCTGCTCGCGGTGAATTAGTCCTTGTTTAGACCGAGCAGTGAGTGTCTGGTCCGCCTGCGAGACGCGGATGGATGCTGCAGTTACCCGTTGTTGTTTGTTGTTAGTCGGTTGTCCCCTCCTCCGCGTGTCGTTGAGCAACTTCCGTAAAGCTACTTTCAAAATAAAAGGTCAGAGTAAAAACTATGCTAAAACCGCGAGTGGTGCCTTCTTGTGTTCCTTGTAAACTACAGTTTCGATTTTTAAAAATAAGCAAATAAAAAGCAACACCACAAAACAATAGATTATATAGAGATGAGTATTTATTATATTTAATATTATTATTTTTGATAGTATAAGCAATATTTTCTCTCTGATATTTGGATTCCATCATTTCCACTCTGTTAAAAGAAAAACTTTTGCCTCATAATTTCAGTTAGAAACTAAGAACAAAGTCTGATACATTTTACTATTCTGTGACATATTGGAGTGTTATTAACAAACCTAAATATGACGGAATCAACCCAGATGATGTTGAGATCACAGGATTCCCTCAAAATGTTTGAAACTGATCCTAAACAGACAAAAAGGTAGACCTGATCTGACAGAGATCAGGTCAGATCCAGAACCTCAGCCTAAATATTCTGGGGGTAAAAGTATTTAAATCAGCCTTTTAAAAATGCAGAACACAAATGCATTCCAACTCCAAATTCTCAGTCTCAGAAAAGACCAGAAAAGAATAATACTGGGATCATGACCTTTGTGACGTATAGCTTTGGAGGAAAGGAAACGTTTCCCAATGATAAATTGAAATGTACCACGCTAATTACGTGCAAAAATAATCGCTGTGTTTTTGTTCTTGTCGGTCACCTGTTAGCTATGTAGTAGTTTCCCACAGCACCGGAACGCAGCACCAGGTCGGTTTCTACAGCAACGACTGACAACAGACGAAGATGGTTTACAGTAAGTTTAAAAAACAACATAAAAACTCCTCCTAAAAACATAATATTTTTACTACGTGTTTACTGTTAATCAATGTGAATTAAACACCTTTCTTGTCAGTTTTTTCCTGGTAGTGAAGTTTGTAGTTTGGGAATTTCGGAGCCGCAGTTACCGTTCTGAGCGGAGAGTCGGTCAGTTAGCTAGCACTCTTGGCTTAATTTCTTCATAGCCGTTAACGTTAACGACAGTTAATGTGCCAGCTTAACAAACGCTAGTAACATTTGTTGGTTATCTATAATGTAGGTCTTATTGGCTGTTAGTTATATTTGTTTTACTATCGCTGTTACTGCTGCTAACTTAACCTGGAACCACCACTACTGCCAGTCACCATTACATTTAACACACTAGTTACTGCAACTACTAACGCTCCTGTTTTACTGCACTACCAATAATAATCTCGATTTGAAAGTTGACTATCTTTATTAAATATAGATGGAAAGGCAAGTTTATTTTGACATCACCTGTTAGCAGCAGGTTAATTCAAAATGATTTAAGGCTAGACACTCAAAATAATATTAATGATAATAATCATCATAATAATCTTTTTTTTTGAAGCACAATTCATACAAAAACGCAGCTTAAAGTGCTTTTAAATTTGAAATAATGGGAAAGATAACTCACAAAGCTTCATGGTTTTCAAGTACAAAACATTACAAATAAAATACAGTACATTACAATAATAGATCATTTTAAAATGCAATTAAAACCACGAATACTTCATTAAAACACGCTAAAAACACGACTTTAATATCAACTTCATAAGACACTTTTAAATACAATAGTGACAGTGCAGTGATATATATGAATAGACAGCCCAAGATGTTGTTGTATTAAACAGAGTTGGAGCAAATCTCTAATCTAGTAGTTTGTGTGCATGACGTGTGGTATAAATTGAATGATGCCTCTCTATGTGGAGATTAAACAAACCATGTTAAAATTATTGACACCAATGTTTCTGGCTTGGTTTTTGTGGTCTTTAACATCAGTGTTTTCAAGTGAGCACTGACTTGTAGTCTTTCTTCTTTGGATAAGGGTAACACTAATTATTGAAAATGCCCCATGAGTTACTGAAATATTACTTAATATGGATTTCAGCCAAAAGTAGTTTTAGATATAGTTGAATATCTGTAGCAAAAGGAATCCAGAAGCATCAGTATCAATCAATCAATCAATCAATCAATCAACCAATCAGTCAATCAATCAGCATTTATTTGTATAGCATTTTTCATACAAACAATGTAACACAAAGTGTTACCCCCCCCCCCCACACACACACACACACACATTCACACACACTCCTTTTTACGCACAAAACAATAAATTACTGATAATAAAAAACAATAAAAATAAGACAGGAACTGAGGAAACACTGACTACTCTGGAAAACAAAGATAAAGAAGTGAGTCAAACCAGAAATAAAAATCAAATGAAAATGAAGACAAAATAGTAAAGATGAAATAATAAAATGCTAAAACAATGTTTGGGAGCGAGTAAAACCAGAAATGAAAGTAGAAATAAAATAAATAACCAAAAATAAAAGTAGGGTATTATGGGAAATAATCCAGAAAATAAAAAATAATAAAAGTACAAACTATTAAAACAGCTTAAAATATATACATAAATAGGAATATAGATAAATAAAATTCAATAGTCTACAAAGGAAGGTCTTAAATTTGCTTTTAAAAATAACAGCACTTCCTGCTGCCCTAATGATGACAGCAATAGTGATATAATAGCAGTAATAATGCAACCTCAGAAACACAGTGACACCTCTGTCCCTGCTGATGTTTTGTTGTGTGTTGTGTTGTGTGTTGACCTTATGCATGAATTGTGTGTTTTTTGTTTTTTTTTGTCGTCCAGTCACAGAGGACATGGTCCGTCGGCGAGCTGAGCACAACGAGTGTGAGATCTTCTCCTTGGAGGAAGTTTCTCTGCATCAGCAGGACATCGAGAGGATCGAACACCTGGACAGGTGGTGCAGGGACCTGAGGATCCTCTACTTGCAAAACAACCTCGTCCCCAGGATAGGTGAGACATCAGACTGTGGCTCAGGTCCAAAGATTTCTGGGTAAAATTTAATTGAAAAATTGAAGATTTTGGACGTCTAGGTTACATAAAGCTGTATATTTAAATTACTGTATTTTAATCTAACACTGGTCTTAACCACGTGTTGAAATGGACTCATTCAAATGATATTGAACCAACAGCTGTATGTAACCATTAGACATTAAATTCAGTTATATTCACCTAGTTTTAACGGACGTCTTTTCCACTGACATGATTGTGTTCTGTCTTTTCTTTAATATCTTATTTGTTCATGCAGAGAATCTTGGTCGCCTGAAGAAACTGGAGTATTTGAATCTGGCCTTGAACAACATTGAAGTCATTGAAAACCTTGAAGGTCAGTATGTAAAACACAGACAGTGGTGTTTCGGTGTATTTGGTTCCACATTGCTGGAGATGAATGAGGTTATTTTTTAAAGTGAGATTTAGCTGAATGAATCTTCCTTTCCTTTTAACCTTTATCATTTTAAAGCATTCTGACAATTTACTGTTTATTATGCTAATTTCTACAGATAATTCATCAATGTTTAATATCATGATGAATATAATCTATACATTACATCAATTTCTAGTCAGTTGTAGAATTAGGTATTAATTATGTAATTTCCTGTTGATTAACCAAATGTTTCAGTTACAATTATGACTGTCTCGCATCCTCAGGCTGCGAGAGTCTCCAGAAGTTGGACCTGACGGTGAACTTCGTTGGTCGTCTGAGCAGCGTTGAGTCTCTGAAGCACAACATCCACCTCAGAGAGCTGTTCCTCGTGGGGAACCCCTGCACTGAGTTTGAGGGCTACAGGCAGTATGTGGTGGCCTCTCTGCCCCAACTCAAGGTAACTTGTCTGTTCCTGCCCCTGAAGTCTAGAAAATCAGAGACTGGGAGGATGTAATGACAATTTAAAGATGAAACGATTATCAGTTTACACAATTGTCAAACTGTTTAAACGAATTATCAAGAGAAACTGACAAAAATGTGCAGAAATGTGAGGATTTGCTGATTTTTCTTATTTTCATATCATTGTAAACTAAATATCTGAGTTTTGTTCTGTTGGTTTGACAAAACAAGGAGTTTGAAGACGTCATCGTCAGCTCTGAGAAAATGTGAATTTGACCAGTTTTTAGACCAAATAACTGACAGATTAATAAAATAAATTGCAGATACATCAAAGATGAAAATAATTTTTAGTTGCAATTAATCTGCAGATACAACAGAGTTTTTCTGTTGAACCAAAATGATAAAGACAATGAGAAAATGTAGCATATACATTTTCAGTATGGATTACAACACTTTTATGTTATAGTTTTTTATTTCATAAATTGACAATAAAAAATGAAAGAAAGAGCAGAGAGAACAGTTTGCCTGTCAGTCTTCCAGTCAGAATACCAGTTCACTCATATTTTTGGCCCAGCAGGTTTTGAAACAGTTAAATATCCTAATTGCTTTTTTAGTTTTGACCATAACATTGAACTCACCAAGTCAATAACTTCAAAAGTTTAACAGGACAAAAAACACGAGCGGGGAGTACAGTGTTCAATAAATACTAGAAAGAGCAGCCAAAACTACAAGATGAGACTTTACTGGTGATAGACTTGAATTAACTATTGCATAGAAATCTTCAACGAGCTGTTTGTCCATGTTCTCAGTGGCTGGACGGGACAGAGATCAGCCGCTCAGAGAGGATTCGAGCTGCTCAGGGACTGGAGGAGGTGAAGAGGCAGGTCTCGGAGCAGGAGAGGGAATACCTGAAGAGGAGAGCTGAGGAGAAAGAGGAGGCGCAGAGGAAGGCTGCAGGAGAGGAGACAGGAAACAATGAGAAGAAAGAAGGCTTTGACAGTGACATCAGCAGCACAGTGTGAGTCCAAACAGCTTCATAGTACAGCCAACTTCCTGCTGCTGTAGAGTGTTTGTCAATATTTTTGTGATCAACAAATCTGATTATTCCACAGCAGCCTGTCTAAGTTAACAAATTTTACATGATTATGTAAAGATTATTGTGTGATTGAGTTGAATAAAAAGCTGTTTGTAGACAGCATCCATATTTATCCAGAGTAAAAACATATTTCCCTCGAGGCTCTAAGAACAGAAGGTGTCCCATGTTGTAAAGATCTTAAAGCAGGTTGAGGAATTAATGATTTTGGGCTGCATTAATAAAACTGACCTGACCTGATAACCTCTGAAATAAAGTGAGGAAAAGTAGAATGTTTCAAAAACAGAACTATTCAGGTACAGAAACTAAAGTAAACAACTAGAGCAGGAAGTGATTCTTTTATTGAACTGCCCCTAAAGCATTGAGCTCTGCACTGACCTGAAAGATTCAAGTTAAATCATGATGATCCGAAATGTTACAGTCAACCTGAAGTTGCTGGATCTTTTCCATCTCTGTAGTCCAGGGTCAGAGGAGAATAAGGAGAACCAAGAGATGGAGGAGAACACAAAGCTGCCGCTCAGGAGCTCTGAGTTAGACGAGGAGCAACAGGAGAGGGAGTTCTGGCACACACCATGTTCTTTCACCCCTGAATCTCGTCTAGAGGCTCACCGCCACCTGGAGGAGAAGAGGAGGGCGAAGGAGAAGTAAGTGTTTTTGACTTTCACCCCATGTTTTATTTTGTCCCTTAAATTGAGTTTGATTGATCTCATTAAAGCCCCACACACCCATGGTTACCACATATAGGTGATGTAACCTTTTAGACGTCCCCGCTTAAAAGTACGTGGTGTTTAGTGAAGCAAACTCTCACCATGACTCGTCTTCAGCCTGAGCAGTAAACAAAAGCCCATCCACTACTTGAAGACGGAAGATTCCCTGAACAGAAAGGCCTGAACTATGTCCTCAGTGTCAGCACTGATGAGTTGGACAAAACACACAATTTAACTTTGCTGTTTAAAACTCAACCTCTACCGATTATTGATTGTTAATTGTTGATTTTTGAAGTGAAGGTAAGATAAGTTAAGATAAGATGTACCTTTATTGACCCCCACTTAGAGGAAATTCAAAATGACACAGCAGCACGAAAGAATAGCAGAGCAAGGGGAAAAATGTAATAAGAAATAAAATAAGAATAGATAATTAGAAATACTATGTACAATAACAATATACAATGTAATGTCAATGTAGGCTGTTCTGTACATGTGCTCTATAAAAATAAAAATAAATACAATAAAAAATTTAGTAAATACAACCCCTGCCACAGGCATTAAATGAGCCTTTCTCCAGATGTTAACAGTCACTTTTTATTTTATGAGCTTAAAAAAATAGAAAACAATTTTTGGGGTCTTAGACTATTTGACTGCAGTTCACTATCTGAGCCACTGGGTGTCACAATAACATCAAGCATTGATGCAGCACAGCGCGCTGTCCTCTCTGACTCACACTGACTCACATTCAGGGGAAAGGCTCAGTTTCTCCTCACACTTAAACAGAGCAAATCTTTCACATACAACATGGCTATAAACTGGTCATTATCTGCTGACACACACCTCGTGCCCAAAATCATGTGGACACCTGGATATTCCACCCATATGTGACGGATGAGGAAGCTTTAGGGACTGCATGCTGGTCTGTCCTGGCTGAGGGTGGTGGTTCTGACTGATGCATGGCTTATATATGTGACTGTAGCTCAGGAGGTTGTCCACCAATCAGAAGGTCCTTGGGCAAGATACTGAACCCCAATTTGCCCCTGACGGCTGCTCCATCAGTGTGTGAGTGTGTGTATGGGATGTATGAATGTATGGATGTATTGTAAAGCACTTTGAGTGGTCAATAAGACTAGAAAAGTGCTTTAAAAATGAGTTTTTGACAACAACATAGTCAATAAGTGTGTTGCTCTTTATTTTATTTGTAGATTAGGTTGTTCATGGCCATCTGTATGTCAGATTCCAGTGTGTGTGTGTGTGTGTGATATAACAAACCTTTTTCTTTTTGGGTTGTCCGTCTGTCCATCCCATTCTTAAGAACACCATGTCTCAGTAACGCCTTGGAATTCTTCAAATTTGACACAAACATTCACTTGGACTCAAGGATGAACTGATTAGATTTTGGTGGCCAAAGGATAAAGGTCAAGGTCAGTGTGACCTCACAAAACACTTTTTAGCTATAGCTCAAGACTTCACAGCAAGTATGGCAAAATGTCACACAGATGGTTCATATTTTCTCTGACTCTGGATAAACAGGGATGTAACCTGAAACTAGTCTGAGTGGAGGAGGCAGACAACCACCAGGAGGTGATTCTAGTTCTTAATTTATTTATATGAGTGAAGTATTTCTTTCACTTTTATTTACATTATTACATGAAATTGTTAAAAAAAAATGTACAAAAAATTTCTGAATTTACAAAAAAGCCCAATATTTAAATCATTAGATGCTCAATTCAAGTGAGGAAAAACTCTCCCCAGAAAAACCCAAAAAGTCAAGTTCTTCCACACTATTGACCACAATGACTGGTCTGAGGCTGCATCTATTTTGATAATCGATTCATCGTTTTAGACATTTTTCAACCAGAGTTTACAAACATCTGGATAAAGCTTATCAAATGTAATGATTTGCTGCTTTTCTTTGTCAGATCTGATTGTGAACGTAATATTTTTTAATAATACAGTTTTGGACTGTTGGAATAAAACAAGCAATTATTTTATGTATTTCATCTTAGGCTTTGGGAGATCATAGCAGGCACTTTTTTACTACTCCATAAACTCCATCTGGCTCAGAATGTAGCAGCTCATATCATTACCAGAACCCCCTCAATAGAGCATATTACTCCTGTTCTTCAGCAACTTCACCGGCTTCCTGTTAAACACTCCATTGACTTCAAGATTCTGCTGCTCACTTTTAAGTCACTTCACAACCTAGCACCTCCGTATCTCTCCAATCTACTCCAAACGTACACATCTGCCCGTGCTCTTAGATCTTCCTCCTCCACTAATCTCTCTGTACGTCCTGCCTGTCTTACTACCATGGGGTACAGAGCCTTCAGCCTTGTTGCCCCTCGACTCTGGAACTCTCTTCCACAAGACATCCGTAATATTGATTCTCTTCCTGTTTTCAAATCCCACCTCAAAACACACCTCTTCAAACTTGCTTACTCTCTTTAACTCCAGCACCAGTGCTTAATCATATTTATTTCATACAATTACATTTATTTCAATTTATTCTGTATTTTATGCCTTGTACTAGTTTTTTATCTTTTACTGTGCATTGTAAGGTGTCCTTGGGTACCTTGAAAGGCGCCTATAAATAAGTAAATTACTTTCTGACATTAGAAATAAAGGTTAATCGATTAATCAAGAAAATTATCTGCAGATTAACTGATAATGAAAACAATCATTTGTTGCAGCTATATTCCACAACAAACTGAGAAAACTGTTTCTTTCTGGAGGTGAAACAGAGAGACAAACACTATGTGTCTGAAATATAAGAGCTGTCCACATTCTTTTGGCCATGTAGTGTAAAGTGACCCAGTAGCTGAATTTAGGCTTTGAACCATTTTTCAGTGATATTGACTCTGAAATGTGCTGAGGCCACAGGTGAAGACATGTGCTGCCTTCTCAGCCAATCACCAGGGGAATAGATCAGTCAATCACTTTAATGACCGGCTGAGGTCGGTACAATTTGTTTTCAGTTGAACAGCAGAAATGCGACATAAATATTACGTTTGACACAGCGATTAGCAGGACAGATGAGGCCACATCGCTGCAGTAGGAACAAGCTGTTCTCTGCGAGGAGCTAGTGCTGAAGGCTGGAGGAGCCGAGAGCCAGTTCACAGGGTCATAGAGGATTTAGTTCTGAAGTCTCACTCATACCTTTGTGACTAATGAATCAGCTGGAGGGTGCCAATAGTCCTGAATGATTTACAGACAGTGTTATCAGGTGTCAGAACTGAGGCGCACAGAATACTTCAGTGACCAGGGGTGCAGCACAAAACTCTAAGCCCTATGCAAAATCAGTCTCTGGGCCCTCTTCCTCTCTTGATCCATGTATCTCACGTATCTTTAAAAAAAATCTTTTACAAATAATTGGGTGACACACATGGATCTGCAGTGGTTATTAGGATAGTCACTAATGAACTGTTCATACCCCATTTAAACAAGTAATAATAATCTGTGATATGTCACTATATGAGCTCACCTTGTCTCACATCCTCAGTAACATCAGGAGATGATGAGGGACCTGCCGCTGCTCCACTGTCTGTGGCTGTTTCTGAAACTGAGGGCACTGTGTTTCATGATGTTAAGCTTTGCTAGGTACAGTGAGCCTCCACTATTTTTTTTTGTATATAAAGTTCAGTCACTCAAACATTTTATTCAGCCAATTCAAAGTTACTAAAGACATTAATGACTTAGAAAAAGAAAATTGCAAACACAAAACAACTTTTCAACCCAGGCTTTTCGAGGGCCCTCCCCCCATTGGGGCCCTGGGTTGTAACATCTTTGACATTTCTGTCTGTGTCTTGGAGATCTTTTAAGCCAGTGTGTTCAAAATGTGATACAAACTAATTCCATGTGTCTGCTATTGAATGGTGTAGGTGTTACCTCTGCAACACAAACAGGAAATGAATGGTTTAGTCTGGTTTAGTCCGGGTTATTTGGAACATATACCCCCAGTGTAACATCATGATGTGTGTGTGTGTGTGTGTGTGAGTGTGAGTGTGAGCCAAATATGTTAGTTGGTTAGTTACTGTCAGTCATGGTAATGACATTTGAACATAATAATAAAACTGAACCACTGTTCACAAGCTTCAATAATTGAACATTTGTGTGTGTGTGTGTGTGTGTGTGTGTGTGTGTGTGTGTGTGTGTGTGTGTGTAATGTTATGTTATTATTGTATTACTTAACCCAGACTCTTTTAGCCATGAACTAGCTTGAACTTTAGCTTAACTTACACCTAACAGCTAAAACATTAGCACTGACAACTAGCATGAACAATATCTACATAGACTGTTTAACTACAGAGCAGACAAAATAGATTAAGTACAAAACAAAAACTTTCTTACCTCAAAATTATTTTTTTCCGTCTATAATATTTTGTGTCTATCACAGGGAGCTACTTCCTCACAGGTGATTCGTAACTTGTTCCTGATTGGAGAAATTGGAAATGTTACAACTGACCCATGTTATAACCATCCCCGGTCTCCCTTACTGGATTTAAAACGTTTTAACTTTATCTTCATAGCAATTAATATGATTAAATATGCAAAGATCAAAGTTAGATAAAATTATCATTTATGAAGCGTTGTAAGACTTAAGATCTCAGCTACTCTGCTTCATCTGGACTGTGTAAATGACCTCTGAATCACCAGCCACCTCTCTGATTTGTTCAGTGATTGAAGTTGGAAAAACAAATGAGCCACTCAGAGATTTGTAGATGAGGTATCTTTCTACACAGCTTCTGTAGCTACACTCATGAGTGTTAGTGTTAGATTGATGACTTTTTTTCATTAACATGAGAAACATTAAGTTAACTGCTCTACCACAATACATAAATAACCAGAAAGGACCAATTGGAGCCCATTGCTCATAGTAAGAAGTGACTGAGTGAACTGGTTTCCAGTGGAGCATAGTTACTGCAGATTTATCTGTA